GTTTGGCAACCATACCACTGAATGTCATTGGTTTGTATCTCAAGAAGAATTAATCTTCTTTATCCATTGGACAAATCATGATGCTTCCTAGGAAGTCTGCTGTTAGGATTTAGCTTCTCCTTTTCTATATGAATGCCATGTGTAAGTACGCAATTTCGTTATGTTTGTTTATGCATTGTTACAATGACCTTCCCAGCCAATTGTTAACAATCCTCCTGAAGCAGAGTTTGTAAGTTTCTTGTCCCAAGTGGAAGGAGTTACACATTGCTCCATCTTATTGGTAAAATGAATGATTGTTTGGCTTTTGGGGGGATAATTTTACAGAAGAGTAGATATGGAATGTTGATTTCTTGGTTTGTTTGTTGCTTTTGGTTGTACTGGGCCAACTCAGCTGCCACGTGTTTGTGATCAAGGGGAAGCGACAATTTTGGTTTGGCGTTACAAAGTTTTCCCCTTAATATAGCCAAGGTCTTATTCATCCTGGTTTTGACTTTTTAAGTTCCAACTTTTCACCACAAAATTGTCTAAAAAACGGAAAGATGCACAGTGAATTCCATGATGGAGCCCGTTGTCATCTGTTGATGATATGATTTATTAGTCAATCCAGGTGTTAGTGCTATAAATGATGCTTTCATTGAGGGAACTTCCTTTTAATGATTTTTTTTTCTCCATTCCAGGCTGTTGGTGAATCTAAGCAATCCATACAGTCGGCAAATACAAGTACAAATGGTGAGTTTCACTGTGGCTGCCTCTTATTTTAAAAAATCTGGTCCAAGCAGAAACTAAGTTAGTGATGGCAATGGTCATTGTAAATACATTAGTGGAATATGCAACCGTTTGAAGCATGAACATAAGTAGAACCCTGAGAACCGAAGTGTGTTCTGTAGGTGCTCCAGGTGGCAGTAAAGAGATGGCATCTTCTGAAATTCATTCACAATCGCGTTTTGGCTCTCTTTTCAGTAAAAAGATGGAAGATAAAGTATGCTGCTTTACTTAATATTCTTACATGGCTGTTAATTCACATCCGCTCCACAAAAAACTTATTGTTACTGCCTTGCTATGTTTCATTTAATAGGCAGATCATAAGGCTGCCAAGGCATTTGATAGAGAACTATCTACTCTGCGTCCTTGCAGCCCTCCGAAAGGGAAACTCAATGAGGGTTTGTCACAAAATGGAAGGCGGAAAAATGGATCATCAAAAAGACGAGGTTCTCAATCTTCTGTTGGTTGGAAGGACAAGGGAATTTCCTCTGATTCCTTCTACTCTAAAGGGCAAAGTGCATCTAGACATTTTTCTAATGGGTAAGTGGTTCTCGTTTACTGTGTTTGCTTACACGTATCCTGTCCTCTTGGTTTTGTTACCTAAATGTTGGTGTGATTTCTATTTCTTATCTGTGGTGAATTATGTTGAAGGGCCAGCAGAGGTAAGAATTTGATGCCCTGTATAAAACACTAGTGAGATAGTCTAGGATAAGACTTTTAGTCTAGATGAAAACTAATGTGATATGCTTTCCTGATCTTGAAGCGCCCTGTAAGATGAAATAACTGGATAGCCAATCTGGGGCAGTGGTAATGATACTCTTGATCACTTTAACCAATACTGTTCATTCAAAATTTGATATGCCTGACTATATACTGTTCGTACTCACTAATGGGAAGCAATTTTTCTGAGAGTTTGCCTCAACAGTGTGTTAGTTTAGACTTTCATTTGCAGCATTTTATCTGTCTATCTCATGTTCCTGCTGTTTACTGCAGCGCAGGCTTTTCTCTGATTGATGTTTCTTTCCCTCTTTTTTCAGTGCTTTTGGTAGAAAAGAGGAATCTCCAGTCTCGCCTTTATATAGTCTCAGACCTAGAAAGGCAAGTACGAAAGAACACAATACCTGAACTTCTTGACACTAAGCTCTACTGGTTATTTGAGGATTTATATGGTTTCTCTTGCCTGAATCATTATGTTTGGTGATGTACTGAGAATAATTTAAAGTTGAAAGATTTTTGAATGTTCTTGAGGGGCTATAGAAAGAATCAAGGGGTTCCTTTGTAGCTTATTTTATTCTAATCTTGTGAACAGAGGGAGACTGTGGTTCTTTTGGATGATGATGATGATGAGGTTCTGGAGACACTAGATTGTGCAAATGAAACACGTGATGAATGGTAAGTTCAGCTTCAAATGGTGCTTTCTCCTTTTGTTCTGTTTTGTTTTCTTTTGCCTGGTTCCATAGATTAACAAGCAATTGATTTTCCCTGTGACCTTCAGCCTGAAAGATGCTAAAATCTACTACCCGTCTAGGTATGTTTAAATTTGTAAATTGGGCATAGTTAAGTTAAGAAGGTCAAACCAGGGATGGTCCAGGATGCGACTATTGACTTCTTGATGTTGATGCAGGGATGATCCAGAATGTGTTGAAATCTGTTTCCAGGATATAGACTGTCTGGCTCCTGAAAGTTTCTTGACATCACCTGTCGCAACCGTCCCGTCCGGGGGGTCCGAATGTCGTCGCGTCGGCATTTTGGGAGTCGCCATCGATCTTACTTGGAGTGGATCGAACACTCTTTGGTCGGCTCTAACCTTAGTGTCAGAACCGAGGCATGGTCTGCGAAAATAAAGTTCTGGGTTCGGGAGTACGGTTACGTATGGGGAAGTTAAGCAACACCCCCACAACGCCCTAAATCGGTACTACTTAAGTCGATAAGTTTTTATGCGAGTTGGGTGTATTTTAGTAATAATTTTGTAATTTTAGGGTCCCACTGGACCATTTAACGATTTTATCGTATTAGTTATAATTTAATTATACGCACACTGACGTAAAAATTTAAGGATAAAGTTAGTTGATTAGTTGGACTCGAACCTTATTGGTTGCCTACGTACCCGTTAGACGGGATCAAAGTCCACGTAGTTCGTTCGGACTTTGAAAATTTTATATAAAATTATTACCACATTCCATTGATCGTGGTTCTCGAATCAAAATTTAATGTTAGTAAAATTTAAGTTGGTATTATGAAATTACAAAAAGATAATATAATAATTTCAATTATTAAGAGGAGTTTTGATGTATTAGAAAAGAAACGAGATATACTTAATCCGCAATTCTACATTTCGTATTAAGGATTTTAAATGAATAAAAGTATACGGGATTATAATATTGACGCATGAGGGCCAGCAGCCCAACTGGCTAAAACGCCAGACCACTCTCACGTTTGACCCAGATGACGATGGTTCGAAACTCGCGGGGGGATAATGTTTTTTTATTTCTCGTTTTGGTGCAGCAAAAGGGGGAAGGGTATTTTTGTAATTGCTCAAAAACGCGGTGGCATGGCTGCGAAATAAGCTGAAAACCCTAGGGGCATTTTAGTCAATTGGAAAGGTATATAAACAGACCGAAATCCTAATCACACTAATTCGGCCGCCGTTCTCTCTCCTCTCCTCTCTCTCTCTCTCTCTCTCTCTCTCTCTCTCTCTCTCTCGTTCTTCTGAAACGAGAATGGGAAAAACGTCAACACTTCGCCTCTCTCTCTCACTCTCGTCTCAGAAGAGACTCCAAAAACCCTAAACGATGCCAAACAGCACCGCCCTCTCTCTCTCAATCCCTCTCGCTTTATGCTTTATCCTTGCAAATCGAAACCCTAATCCTAATCAATCCTAGCAGACGCCTACATGGAGATCGAACGGCGACCCCTCTCTCTCTCTCTCTATGCGCCGCCGCTCTCGACTCTGGCCGGGAAGTGAGGGGGAAATCGATCCGGGTAAGAAACACGACATGCATGCTTCCTAATTTCTATCTCTTGGATTATAATTGGGATTCTGATTATTTTTCTTGATTTTCGTTTTATGCGAGGGGGAAAGGAAGGCCGACCGCAATTAGACTTCTCATTGACAAAAAAAAAAAAAAAAACGATTTAGGTAAGATTCTTGCCTTGCATGTAGGTTTTTCTATTTCAATTTCAAAAATCGGGTTCTGATTATATTTTGTTTTTGGGTTTCGGATTTGGATGAGGAGGAAAAGGGAGTAGATGGTCGCCGGCGGTGGTGTGACGACGTCACACAGGTGAGGTTTTGTGATTTTACTTTTGATTTATTATTCCTTTGATCAAATCTGACCTCTACTCTTGTTTTGTCACAGGTTTTTAATCCGAAACTAATGTAGGTGAGCCTTTTTTAACTTAGATTATTTGGCTAAGATAAATTAAACGGAAAGATGAAGACATTGCTTGGTTTATTACTTTGGATTTGACAGATCTTAGACAGATTCGAGTTCTGGACTCCTAAAATTTCTATATGCATTTGGGTTGCAATTTTAGGTAGATCTGGGTTTTGCATGAGCATAGATTTGCTAGAGGGTAGCAATTAACTAGAACTAATTAATCTATATTTTGCCTAATTTGTGAGATCTGGTTTATTGGCAAGAATGCTGATTTTTAGTAAATTAGGAAAAGATTTACAGATCTGACTTTTGGTAAAATCGGTTGTTTTGTATGCTTTGGACTCATAATATGCAAATCAGTTTAACAAAAGAAAAAAACACAATTAGTTTTACTTATAATAGGCTAGATCATTAATTATCACAGCCACTGCTTGTGATTTGGTAGACTATTACCTGTAAATAACTGCTACTGCTTGTGATTTTGGGTAGGTTATGGATAATGACACTGCTACTGCATGTAATTTAATTAGAAAAAGGATTTTTGATTAATTTGGAAACTGATAAGAGTTTGTGAATCGAATATTATTGTCTTTATAGTTGCCATAGATTTGGATTTGATTTTATTTGTTGTGTATGATGATCTAGTGTTTATCAACTATTAACCTAAAAGTAAATATGGCGACATAGTATAAGATTATAAGAGACTATCAATTGATGAGAAGAGTAAACAAGTGCTAAATTGGGAGAAGCTTAATGACATCACTACAAGCACATATTAAGAGTGCTTGGATATAAAGTGGATTGTAAAGTAAATTGCTTGAATATAAATAGGCAAGCTGATGGATGATTATAATGATTGCAATGACTTGATTAAAAATGAAAGATGGAAGTTGATACTAGTACTAACCTGAATTTCTAGGCCTAAGAATGGCCTTTTCCCGAATCAATCTTCAAATTCGCTCCTTCAATCTCCAATGAACTTCGGCTAAGAGCCAGAACCAAAAACTGTTTGGGATGTCAATATTTCTCTTTTTTGTAGAGTTTTTTCTTCTTCCATTCGTCCCCCTCAACAGAGAGCCCAATGAGCTCATTTAATAGCAAAACTATCCGCCACGTGTCACATGATAATTTGCCGTTACTGAAGCTGAAACTAGCGTGCTTCCTTCTGATTGGTCGAATTTTATGGCTGAATCTTAACCCTCCACCTGCAAAGTCGGTTGCTGAGTGGCTGTGTTGGAGAGCTCCACCTTGCTTGGTCGGCTCTGACTTGTTAGGGTATGGATAGGGTTGGCATATGATTTCGGGCCGAGCTGGCCGAAATGGGCCTAGAGATGTTTGCGATTTGGTCTTCGTCTGGGCTCGAAATGGGCTTCTTCCAGTCTTTCACTTGGGCCAAACTGGGCTCTGATTCTTGGTACTGATTTATGGGCTTGACCTTGTTGACTTTGAATTCTAGCTTGGGCCTGTCTTGACTGATTTTCTCTGATTTTGCAGGCTGCTTTTGCTGGTCTGGGCTCCCCGGTTATGGGCCATGCTTGGATTCTTGATACGAGAATAGGAGTAGATTGTTTCCTTTCAACTTGTATTTTGTATTTGAGGATGATAGTTGTACAAATTGAAATTTCTTGTAATGTTTGATTATCGTGGCGATCTTTTATTTTTCTTTGTAGAGATATTCTTTTAGCCTTTACCATCGAGCTTTGAATAATTCTTTAATACGAATCCCTAAACATGACCCATATCGCTCCTTGATTTGTTTTCATTAACCAAGTTTACTGTGCCACGCTTCTCGATTGAAAGTGGAGTTTGATGTTTCTATGATAGATATCAGACCGGACAAAATGTGGTGTCTACATCACCTATCATGAACTTTTACGTACGGTAAAGTGAACTTCATCCTGGTTACCTTCTGTTTTACGGTGCAAACTAGTAGGTCTTATTACCAAGAACCAAAGATACTCCGAACACAACCAAGCAGGAATATGAAAGCCTATCATACCAATAGGATACCACAAAAGGGCTTTTCTTGCCACTATATGGGTGTCAGTTAGAATGACCATCTTAATTAGTTCAGTGATGGAACTATGTGTAATTTCAGATGGGCTACAGTAGGCCCTTCAGTATATAATGTGGTTCTCATATGTTTATTCATATGTTAGGAAAACATTATAAAGTGACAAGATAACTGACTATTATAAAGCACAAAGCTTTTCTCCATTAACTGGTTAACGGTGTTTGCGAGTAATGGAATTCACTTTTGCCATCTCCTAAGTGATAGAAACAGAGCTGTTTATTGGGTGTAGCTGGTAATTGTGGTGAATGTTTCAGCCTTTCATCCTTGTTCATCACTACTTGAATCTGGAATATTGAGGTGGAGTACTTTCCACGTTTTTATTTTATCTCTTGTTTAGGTACCTAGAGATGCAGGCTTCTCCATCACAAAAGGCTACTTGTGATTATCACATATTTAATGCATTCTTCTACAACAAGCTTAAACAGCAGTTGTCACGAAAGGTAGTTGAATTGATTGCTTCAGAACCGTGGCTGTCTGGGTATGTGATGTACTATTGTTCATCTGTCATCCACTTTCATGTGTAGGGAGGTGAAAAGGAATCCTTCTTTGTCAAGTTTAGAAGATGGTGGAAGGGTGTGAACTTATTTGAGAAGGCATACATACTGATTCCTATACACGAAGAGTAAGTTTCTTTTCAGGTTCATTGTACAGTTTCTTCTAGTTGCTGATTGCTGCAAGTTGTCAGCTTCCATTTCGTATTTGAAGCTCGTTAAAAATGAAAAAAAGGACTTGCTTCCCAAGCTCCCTTCTTCCCCTTGATTTGGCGTAATCGTGTCATTATTCATGGGTGCTGATATATCAGTCTACACTGGAGCTTGGTGATCATCTGTTTCCCAGAGAAGAAGGACAACAGATCAGGACCAATGTTGCTTCATTTGGACTCATTAAAGCTCCACTATAGCAGAGTTGTATTGGAGGATATAACTAGGTGAGATTAAAAATACCTTGGAATTGGGCAGACTTACTTTTGTAACTTGGTATTGGCTGTTTCTGGTCTTTAGTAACTATTCAAATAGTTAAAATAGATCTCTCACATCACAATTTATTTGTCATTATTCAGTGAAAAAATTGTTTGTCATTGAATAACATCTCCTGCCAATTGCAATATCAATTCACAGCTTTTTGAGAGAAGAATGGCAATATTTACATCAAGAAGTTGCTCGTCAGTCAGATGTTGAGATCTCTGACAAAATATGGAAGCGTCTTCATAACATTTCTTCAAGAAGAATCGAGGTAAACAAGTGCCCCGAGTTTCAATATCATATGATGTTTGTGTTCTAGGATTGATCGAGTCCAGCAGCTCATGTATGTATTCTGAATCCTAAATCAAAATGCCTACCAGGTTCCACAACAGAAAAATGATTATGATTGCGGTATCTTTGTACTTTATTTCATGGAGCACTTCATTGACGAAGCCCCGGAGAGGCTGAAAGAAGTGGATCTGGACATGGTAAATTTCTCTTCGCACCCACACACTTTAAGATTTATAATTTTTTCAGTCTCTAGTTTTCCATGTCATCTGAATAAAACCTAAGAAAAGTAATGCTATCACATATATACAATTCTTTTGGTTGCAGTTCGGCAAGCAATGGTTCAAACCTGAAGAGGCATCTCGCTTGAGAAAGAAAATAAGAGATTTGCTCAAGACCGAGTTTCGTAAATTAAGAAAGCGCAGCATTGCTTGCGAATCATTGGCTGTCCCTTCCGGAGGATCAACTTCAGCAGAAAACAGTAATTCAACTGAGTCGTCATGACTTTGTACAGCTCAGATTCAGGGTAAAGAAGCACAACAATGAGTTAGCTATGTACATCCCGAGAAAGAGGAGAGGAAAATTGTGGATACCCATTTTATCTTGGGCTTGAAATAACAATAGGTAGAGTAAGATCGAGTTCTGAAGCCCCTCTTCTCTTTCTCTCTTTTTGCGGGTTTTGGCTTCACCATCAAAGACAAAGTGTACAAATATAGGGAAGTACAGTAGTTGCGGGAATTTTGGCACATAAAGACAGAGTAGTGTCCACCATTCTTAGCAGTTCAAAAGACTGCTGTACCTCTCTGGATGATCATCTTTTCATACATGAAGTACAGTAGCCCTCCGTTTTTGCAATTCATTTCTAGAGACACAAGCAGTGTGGAGGGAGGAAAGGTGAAGTGTTGTTTTCTTTTTTCGTAATGGTGAGCAGGTCAATGGTGGCCTCTAACACCACGTCCTTCAAAGCTGGTCTCTTCTTCCCAGCATTGCTTCATGGTCCCTGCCAGCGACTCTGGAGAGTGCCCGGTACCTCTTATGTCGATTTTGTCATATATCCAGAAAGTGATGCTTGATTGTCGTAAGAACTGCTGGTAGTTGTTTGTGTTTGCATTGTGAATGCTGATCATGCTGAGATCACATTTTTCTATAGCGTTTGCCAACGCGAGTCTTATGTTTATGCATATTGTTTGCCAATGCGTGAAATTGCATTTTTATATAGCGTTTGCCAACGCGGAGACGTATTTCTATAGCGTTCGCCAACGCAGGAATGTATTTATATATAGCGTTCGCCAACGCGGGAAATTACATTTTTATATAGCGTTTGCCAACGCGGGAACGTGTTTATATAGCGCTCGCCAACGCGGCGACGTGTTTTTATAGCGCTCGCCAACGCAGGACGTGTTTATATAGCGTTCGCCAACGCGGGGACGTGTTTGTATAGCGCTCGCCAACGCGTGGACGTGTTTCTATAGCGCTCGCCAACGCGGGGACGTGTTTATATAGCGTTCGCCAACGCGGGGGACTTAAGGTTTTCTAGTACGAAATTAGATGCGATATTTTCTTGGATCTTGGTAGACTTTGAAAGTTGAAACAGACAACTTCTGAGGTTCTGATGAGATGCTCAATGCATGTGTAAAATAAAGATGCACTTGTTTTTTTTAGAAATGACAGTATGATGTATCATGTTGAATAATGATGTCATGAATGTAAAATACATTGTTTTAGTTGTTGGTCCTGGGTTTCTTTAAATCGATCATCCGCCAGGAATTTTGTCATCGTCTTTGGAAGACTTGATCGTTAGTTGAGATCGAAACTCGATAGTGAGAGCTCTTGGGTATCCGCCTCTATGGTGCAGAGGTAGGGATATTGGGTACTTTGTTGCTTTGGTGCATGATGTGTGGGAAACCCAACCTCTTAGGCTTAGGGTTTGGAATAATTAGCTCGGCCAGGGGGCACTGCCCTTGGTGGTATTTGTTGCAATGTAAGCGATATTTGCTTGGTTAAGAAGATCTATCATCTTGAGGTATGTCTTGTTAGGATTGGCTTTTCATAATATACTTTTGATTGAGCCTATCTCGGATATAGGGAACCCTGAGGTACCATGTCGTTCTGTCTTTCTTTCTTGATGCCCAATGTAGGCCACATGGGTCTCTTATGAGGTTGTCTTTCTTGGTGACAGAGTATATTGTGCTTCTTCTTGTCAGTATGTCATCCAAGAAAAATTTAGCTGACCACCTGGTCTCATGGAACTTGAGTGTCTCCGAGTTCTTCAAAATTTCTTCACAAATAGGGGGCTGAAAGTTGAGTAGTCTAGCTACTTAGTCCCTTGAACTTTCTTTAAGTTACCCCCAATTTGCCCCCAAGGATATCTTACTCATTTTCCATCTTCCGGAACGAAGAGTGATTTTTATCATCCTCGACTTGGGATAAATGCAACAACGTGTGAAAATAACTTTGTTGGAGTAACAAAGTGAAAACTCATTTTTAGATTGTAAAGCTCTTGTTTAAGGTAGTGTGTGCAAATTGAGCAAATACATTTTCTCATGTGACTTTTGCCATAAATTTTGTTTTCATAATGCTCATAATTGTTTTTGTTTCAAGAAGAGTGCAAATCGAGCCATGAGAATATCCGTGATCTCTCACTCTCGTCCTTGACCTCTTTTCCACTTTCACTCATTCCTATGGATGTTTTAAGTTTTCGACACTTCGACTACTATCAAGATTCCTGTCACCATGAGATGACTCTGTCTATGTTGACGGCCACATGAGCTTGAGGTTAAGGTTTTTCTCAACAAGAGAGCTTTGTGTGGTTGATTTAGGTGATCTCATATGGTCTCGTCGTGGAGGTATATGATTTTTCATGAAATGAGGTTATTGGTTGATTTTGACTGTGGGATCTTCTTATCCTGAAATTTTTACTGTCCTATAGCAGGGTTGAGACAATGATAGAAGGAAGATCTTTGAGAGATTTTGGCCATCTCATGACTTTTGTCGAGAAATTTTGGCTTGCCCCCAAAGATATGTGGCTAATTGATGGGAATAGGGGATTCGTATAAGGTTTGTAGTTTCTCTCATCGAGGAACTCTTTCTTTTTCTTGGAAATGTTGGTGGTTTCCAGAGAGTATATCTATAGCTTGTATTGCCCTCTTTTCTTAAAATATTGGTTTTGAGAGGCAAGAATGAGTAGGAAGCAAATGAACTCTTGCTCCAACCCAGAATGGTATGCTGAGGAGTTCTTTTGTGTAGTGGTAGTGACTGCATGGTTTTTTTCTTATCACGTAAGCTTTTGCTTGAGCTTCTTCCTTGGATATTGGTTGGAAGATCTCTTGGTTGAGTGGTTATGACTTTAGATAACATAGAAAGGGGCATCTAGTTGTAAGTCCCACAATGTTTTGTTGTTGTTGTTTCCCTTTTGAAATTTTCACGTTTGTGAGACTTGCTTGACTTTGTTACGCCCCCTATGTGTTTCACTAAGTCTTCAACTGAACTTTGTGTTTCTGGGCACGAGTACAAAAAGGTTATGCCTTTGTCTTGATGGCCGACAACATGAGGGTCTCTCTTGACGGCTGGGCTAATTGGATAGTTTTTCAAACACTATTTTGGTGACGAGATTCGGCTAAATGTGACAGGATTCTTAAAATAGCCTGATATCGTATCCCCACTACATCCCTTGACTATCATCTCATGTGACTTACAAACACCAGTGGGGCGTTTATACACTCAATATAAGTTGGCCTTTTGTATTCTCAACACCCGTGGGGTGTTCAAATCTTGACACCAGTAGGGTGTTTGTAATCTCTCAACACCAGTAGGGTGTTCATAGTTGTGTGGTATGATAATCCCATGGCTTAATTTGAACACACGAAATTGATTTATGATTTATTTTAGAAAATTCAAGTAAAAATTCGTGAAATAGATTTTTATTACTTGGAAAGATAGGGACCATTGATGCGAAATCCGAAATCGAGATTGATAATGATCACGAAATGCTCCGAGAAGGTAGAAACATGAGTAACCTTTTATTTCTCATGATGAAAGCAAAAGGTGATACATTTTTATCGTGGCGAGCTATCTCGATATTTATTTGAGGTTATGCTTATTAACTTCCCCGAGTCTGCAGTAGGCTGTTGTTGACGTGTAAACGATTTCCTCTTATTCAAACTTCAACCATCCAGCATTCACCATGTCTTGAACCTTTATCTTCAGAGCGTTGCAATTTTCCACTGAATGCCCCTGGACTCCTGAATGGTAATCGCAATGCTTGTCGAACCTATACCACCTTGGAAATGGAGGTTGTAGAGTCTCACCCGGAATAGGAGTGATTAGATGATCATGGAGTAATCGAGGGAAGAGTTCGGTATACGTGACCGGGATGGGGTCAAATACCCTTTTTGCTTTCCTTGTGATACTAACATCTCGATTGGCACCTTGTCGTGGTATTGGTGTGGGATTTTGGATCGTTGATTTCATGAAGTTTGGAGGTTGCAATATTGGTGTGGTAGTTGCAACATATGGGAGGGCTTGATTATTTTGAAAATTGCTTTTTCGTGTTTTCTCTTTTGCTTCTTTGTGGGATGAATATACCTCCTCTTCCTTTCTCTTGTTCTGGCTTAGTCTCGCGAAGCCTTCTGGTATTTCCAACTTGCCTTGCCGAATCCCTTTTTCTATCCTTTCACCGATTATCAAAAGATCGACAAAGTTAGTCGTGGTAATTCCTACCATGTTGTTGTAGTAGGGAGGCTTGAGTGTGTCGAAGAAAATTGACACCATTTCTTTCTCTGATAGAGGAGGTTGAACATCTACGGCTTTGGTTCGCCATCTGTGGGCGTATTCACGAAAGGATTCTTTCTCTTGTTTTTCCATATTACGCAAGTCCTCCCTATCTGGAGCTAAATCTTGGTTATGCTTATAGTGTCTGAAGAATGCATTAGCTAGATCTTGCCATCTCTTGACCTTTGACCTTTCGAGCTGCATGTACCACCTTGCGGCTGGCCCAGTTAGGCTGTTTTGGAAGCAATGTATCATTAATTTTTCATCCCGAATATGGTTAGCCATCTTGTTGCAATACATAACCATGTGGTTTCTGGGGCAAGTAGCACCTTCATACTTTTCAAATTCTGGCATTTTGAATTTGTGAGGTATTATCACATCTGGGACCAAACATAATTGCGATGCATCTGTGGGCCCGTATGACTCCGTTCCTTCTATGGCTCTGATTCGTTCATCGAGTCGTTCAAGTTTTTCTTTTGATGTGGCATCGATCACAGTTTCTTTTAACTTCCGTCTCCCTTGCGAGTCATCAAGTTTTGATGATCCAATTTTGTCTTTATCAAGCTTCTCGTTTATGGGTATACTGATGGATTTCTTGCCCGAATTGCCCCCATTATGTGGCTTGCCATTATCGTCATTGTAAACTGACATTTCTTCGTCATTGGTTGCTACCTCTTTCTTCTTTGCTGACATCATCCCTATAAGCAAATTTAGTTGATTTTTCACCTCGTCGACACCTTCTAGCTTTTGATTGAACCCAGATAGTTTTTCATCGAATCCGGTCAATTTTCCTTCAACATCACCCATCTTTTTCTGGAATGCCTCCATGATGAGCTCAACCTTGGATCTTGTCAAATACTTAAAGACTTGACTCTCTTTCCTCGTGGATGAATGATTTTAGAAACCCTGAACCATCTTAAAACTGACAAATTATTTTTCATTTTTATTATGGGTATGTATGCATGATGCTTATGCAAATGTTAATGATGTATGGATGCAAATTTATTTTTCATCATGCATGCATTTTTATCTTTTTGTGATAAGTTGTAACTGAGCGAATGAAAATGTTATGACAGAATGATGCTTATGAATTTTGAAAACATTTTTCATTTATACAATCACATAGTTTTGCGAGTAAAAGATAAAACACAATATCAATAAATCGCAAGCAGACATCCATTTAGATAAGCAAACATATATCATTACATCATTACCCTATTTGGTAGACCTAGGGCTTTCGGATGGCGTACCGACATGGTCTTAGGGTGGCTTTGGGGATTGTTTTGGATGGTCGAAGGTAGCTTCGAAGTTTACTATATGCTGGTTAAGGAATTCCTAGGGATTTGGCTCCCAAGTTGTATCCCGCCCTAGCTCTTTCGAACTGGCTGGATACCTCGAGATCATCCTCGGATCCGAGTTCAACTTGGTTAGAAAGTTTTGCGTGACTACCACTATTGTGGATGTCACGGTACTCCTTTCAATTTCCTAAAAGGATAGCTCGAGTATAGAGCTTTTATGCATGAATGCAAAATTAAATTGCGAAAATATAATTGCGCAAATAAGTAGTAAACACCCAACACGTAAAAGAAAATAAGAAAACTTATCGACTTAATAAGTGTAGCTCGACTCTCGAAGTCCCCAGCGGAGTCGCCAACTGTCGCAACCGTCCCGTCCGGGGGGTCCGAATGTCGTCGCGTCGGCATTTTGGGAGTCGCCATCGATCTTACTTGGAGTGGATCGAACACTCTTTGGTCGGCTCTAACCTTAGTGTCAGAACCGAGGCATGGTCTGCGAAAATAAAGTTCTGGGTTCGGGAGTACGGTTACGTATGGGGAAGTTAAGCAACACCCCCACAACGCCCTAAATCGGTACTACTTAAGTCGATAAGTTTTTATGCGAGTTGGGTGTATTTTAGTAATAATTTTGTAATTTTAGGGTCCCACTGGACCATTTAACGATTTTATCGTATTAGTTATAATTTAATTATACGCACACTGACGTAAAAATTTAAGGATAAAGTTAGTTGATTAGTTGGACTCGAACCTTATTGGTTGCCTACGTACCCGTTAGACGGGATCAAAGTCCACGTAGTTCGTTCGGACTTTGAAAATTTTATATAAAATTATTACCACATTCCATTGATCGTGGTTCTCGAATCAAAATTTAATGTTAGTAAAATTTAAGTTGGTATTATGAAATTACAAAAAGATAATATAATAATTTCAATTATTAAGAGGAGTTTTGATGTATTAGAAAAGAAACGAGATATACTTAATCCGCAATTCTACATTTCGTATTAAGGATTTTAAATGAATAAAAGTATACGGGATTATAATATTAACGCATGAGGGCCAGCAGCCCAACTGGCTAAAACGCCAGACCACTCTCACGTTTGACCCAGATGACGATGGTTCGAAACTCGCGGGGGGATAATGTTTTTTTATTTCTCGTTTTGGTGCAGCAAAAGGGGGAAGGGTATTTTTGTAATTGCTCAAAAACGCGGTGGCATGGCTGCGAAATAAGCTGAAAACCCTAGGGGCATTTTAGTCAATTGGAAAGGTATATAAACAGACCGAAATCCTAATCACACTAATTCGGCCGCCGTTCTCTCTCCTCTCCTCTCCTCTCCTCTCTCTCTCTCTCTCTCTCTCTCTCGTTCTTCTGAAACGAGAATGGGAAAAACGTCAACACTTCGCCTCTCTCTCTCACTCTCGTCTCAGAAGAGACTCCAAAAACCCTAAACGATGCCAAACAGCACCGCCCTCTCTCTCTCAATCCCTCTCGCTTTATGCTTTATCCTTGCAAATCGAAACCCTAATCCTAATCAATCCTAGCAGACGCCTACATGGAGATCGAACGACGACCCCTCTCTCTCTCTCTCTCTATGCGCCGCCGCTCTCGACTCTGGCCGGGAAGTGAGGGGGAAATCGATCCGGGTAAGAAACACGACATGCATGCTTCCTAATTTCTATCTCTTGGATTATAATTGGGATTCTGATTATTTTTCTTGATTTTCGTTTTATGCGAGGGGGAAAGGAAGGCCGACCGCAATTAGACTTCTCATTGACAAAAAAAAAAAAACGATTTAGGTAAGATTCTTGCCTTGCATGTAGGTTTTTGTATTTCAATTTCAAAAATCGGGTTCTGATTATATTTTGTTTTTGGGTTTCGGATTTGGATGAGGAGGAAAAGGGAGTAGATGGTCGCCGGCGGTGGTGTGACGACGTCACACAGGTGAGGTTTTGTGATTTTACTTTTGATTTATTATTCCTTTGATCAAATCTGACCTCTACTCTTGTTTTGTCACAGGTTTTTAATCCGAAACTAATGTAGGTGAGCCTTTTTTAACTTAGATTATTTGGCTAAGATAAATTAAACGGAAAGATGAAGACATTGCTTGGTTTATTACTTTGGATTTGACAGATCTTAGACAGATTCGAGTTCTGGACTCCTAAAATTTCTATATGCATTTGGGTTGCAATTTTAGGTAGATCTGGGTTTTGCATGAGCATAGATTTGCTAGAGAGTAGCAATTAACTAGAACTAATTAATCTATATTTTGCCTAATTTGTGAGATCTGGTTTATTGGCAAGAATGCTGATTTTTAGTAAATTAGGAAAAGATTTACAGATCTGACTTTTGGTAAAATCGGTTGTTTTGTATGCTTTGGACTCATAATATGCAAATCAGTTTAACAAAAGAAAAAAACACAATTAGTTTTACTTATAATAGGCTAGATCATTAATTATCACAGCCACTGCTTGTGATTTGGTAGACTATTACCTGTAAATAACTGCTACTGCTTGTGATTTTGGGTAGGTTATGGATAATGACACTGCTACTGCATGTAATTTAATTAGAAAAAGGATTTTTGATTAATTTGGAAACTGATAAGAGTTTGTGAATCGAATATTATTGTCTTTATAGTTGCCATAGATTTGGATTTGATTTTATTTGTTGTGTATGATGATCTAGTGTTTATCAACTATTAACCTAAAAGTAAATATGGCGACATAGTATAAGATTATAAGAGACTATCAATTGATGAGAAGAGTAAACAAGTGCTAAATTGGGAGAAGCTTAATGACATCACTACAAGCACATATTAAGAGTGCTTGGATATAAAGTGGATTGTAAAGTAAATTGCTTGAATATAAATAGGCAAGCTGATGGATGATTATAATGATTGCAATGACTTGATTAAAAATGAAAGATGGAAGTTGATACTAGTACTAACCTGAATTTCTAGGCCTAAGAATGGCCTTTTCCCGAATCAATCTTCAAATTCGCTCCTTCAATCTCCAATGAACTTCGGCTAAGAGCCAGAACCAAAAACTGTTTGGGATGTCAATATTTCTCTTTTTTGTAGAGTTTTTTCTTCTTCCATTCGTCCCCCTCAACAGAGAGCCCAATGAGCTCATTTAATAGCAAAACTATCCGCCACGTGTCACATGATAATTTGCCGTTACTGAAGCTGAAACTAGCGTGCTTCCTTCTGATTGGTCGAATTTTATGGCTGAATCTTAACCCTCCACCTGCAAAGTCGGTTGCTGAGTGGCTGTGTTGGAGAGCTCCACCTTGCTTGGTCGGCTCTGACTTGTTAGGGTATGGATAGGGTTGGCATATGATTTCGGGCCGAGCTGGCCGAAATGGGCCTAGAGATGTTTGCGATTTGGTCTTCGTCTGGGCTCGAAATGGGCTTCTTCCAGTCTTTCACTTGGGCCAAACTGGGCTCTGATTCTTGGTACTGATTTATGGGCTTGACCTTGTTGACTTTGAATTCTAGCTTGGGCCTGTCTTGACTGATTTTCTCTGATTTTGCAGGCTGCTTTTGCTGGTCTGGGCTCCCCGGTTATGGGCCATGCTTGGATTCTTGATACGAGAATAGGAGTAGATTGTTTCCTTTCAACTTGTATTTTGTATTTGAGGATGATAGTTGTACAAATTGAAATTTCTTGTAATGTTTGATTATCGTGGCGATCTTTTATTTTTCTTTGTAGAGATATTCTTTTAGCCTTTACCATCGAGCTTTGAATAATTCTTTAATACGAATCCCTAAACATGACCCATATCGCTCCTTGATTTGTTTTCATTAACCAAGTTTACTGTGCCACGCTTCTCGATTGAAAGTGGAGTTTGATGTTTCTATGATAGATATCAGACCGGACAAAATGTGGTGTCTACATCACCTATCATGAACTTTTACGTACGGTAAAGTGAACTTCATCCTGGTTACCTTCTGTTTTACGGTGCAAACTAGTAGGTCTTATTACCAAGAACCAAAGATACTCCGAACACAACCAAGCAGGAATATGAAAGCCTATCATACCAATAGGATACCACAAAAGGGCTTTTCTTGCCACTATATGGGTGTCAGTTAGAATGACCATCTTAATTAGTTCAGTGATGGAACTATGTGTAATTTCAGATGGGCTACAGTAGGCCCTTCAGTATATAATGTGGTTCTCATATGTTTATTCATATGTTAGGAAAACATTATAAAGTGACAAGATAACTGACTATTATAAAGCACAAAGCTTTTCTCCATTAACTGGTTAACGGTGTTTGCGAGTAATGGAATTCACTTTTGCCATCTCCTAAGTGATAGAAACAGAGCTGTTTATTGGGTGTAGCTGGTAATTGTGGTGAATGTTTCAGCCTTTCATCCTTGTTCATCACTACTTGAATCTGGAATATTGAGGTGGAGTACTTTCCACGTTTTTATTTTATCTCTTGTTTAGGTACCTAGAGATGCAGGCTTCTCCATCACAAAAGGCTACTTGTGATTATCACATATTTAATGCATTCTTCTACAACAAGCTTAAACAGCAGTTGTCACGAAAGGTAGTTGAATTGATTGCTTCAGAACCGTGGCTGTCTGGGTATGTGATGTACTATTGTTCATCTGTCATCCACTTTCATGTGTAGGGAGGTGAAAAGGAATCCTTCTTTGTCAAGTTTAGAAGATGGTGGAAGGGTGTGAACTTATTTGAGAAGGCATACATACTGATTCCTATACACGAAGAGTAAGTTTCTTTTCAGGTTCATTGTACAGTTTCTTCTAGTTGCTGATTGCTGCAAGTTGTCAGCTTCCATTTCGTATTTGAAGCTCGTTAAAAATGAAAAAAAGGACTTGCTTCCCAAGCTCCCTTCTTCCCCTTGATTTGGCGTAATCGTGTCATTATTCATGGGTGCTGATATATCAGTCTACACTGGAGCTTGGTGATCATCTGTTTCCCAGAGAAGAAGGACAACAGATCAGGACCAATGTTGCTTCATTTGGACTCATTAAAGCTCCACTATAGCAGAGTTGTATTGGAGGATATAACTAGGTGAGATTAAAAATACCTTGGAATTGGGCAGACTTACTTTTGTAACTTGGTATTGGCTGTTTCTGGTCTTTAGTAACTATTCAAATAGTTAAAATAGATCTCTCACATCACAATTTATTTGTCATTATTCAGTGAAAAAATTGTTTGTCATTGAATAACATCTCCTGCCAATTGCAACATCAATTCACAGCTTTTTGAGAGAAGAATGGCAATATTTACATCAAGAAGTTGCTCGTCAGTCAGATGTTGAGATCTCTGACAAAATATGGAAGCGTCTTCATAACATTTCTTCAAGAAGAATCGAGGTAAACAAGTGCCCCGAGTTTCAATATCATATGATGTTTGTGTTCTAGGATTGATCGAGTCCAGCAGCTCATGTATGTATTCTGAATCCTAAATCAAAATGCCTACCAGGTTCCACAACAGAAAAATGATTATGATTGCGGTATCTTTGTACTTTATTTCATGGAGCACTTCATTGACGAAGCCCCGGAGAGGCTGAAAGAAGTGGATCTGGACATGGTAAATTTCTCTTCGCACCCACACACTTTAAGATTTATAATTTTTTCAGTCTCTAGTTTTCCATGTCATCTGAATAAAACCTAAGAAAAGTAATGCTATCACATATATACAATTCTTTTGGTTGCAGTTCGGCAAGCAATGGTTCAAACCTGAAGAGGCATCTCGCTTGAGAAAGAAAATAAGAGATTTGCTCAAGACCGAGTTTCGTAAATTAAGAAAGCGCAGCATTGCTTGCGAATCATTGGCTGTCCCTTCCGGAGGATCAACTTCAGCAGAAAACAGTAATTCAACTGAGTCGTCATGACTTTGTACAGCTCAGATTCAGGGTAAAGAAGCACAACAATGAGTTAGCTATGTACATCCCGAGAAAGAGGAGAGGAAAATTGTGGATACCCATTTTATCTTGGGCTTGAAATAACAATAGGTAGAGTAAGATCGAGTTCTGAAGCCCCTCTTCTCTTTCTCTCTTTTTGCGGGTTTTGGCTTCACCATCAAAGACAAAGTGTACAAATATAGGGGAAGTACAGTAGTTGCGGGAATTTTGGCACATAAAGACTGAGTAGTGTCCACCATTCTTAGCAGTTCAAAAGACTGCTGTACCTCTCTGGATGATCATCTTTTCATACATGAAGTACAGTAGCCCTCCGTTTTTGCAATTCATTTCTAGAGACACAAGCAGTGTGGAGGGAGGAAAGGTGAAGTGTTGTTTTCTTTTTTCGTAATGGTGAGCAGGTCAATGGTGGCCTCTAACACCACCTCCTTCAAAGCTGGTCTCTTCTTCCCAGCATTGCTTCATGGTCCCTGCCAGCGACTCTGGAGAGTGCCCGGTACCTCTGGTCGAACGTTCGGTGTATTCGCTGCAGCAATTTCAGCAATCAAAATGGACAAAACACCATGCTTCCCTACTCGATACAACTTAGCGTCTGCTGGTTCTGGTGAGAGAATCCGAAGCTGGCCAAGGGTGCGTCGCAGCAGTAAATCTCTAAAATTAGCATGGATTTAGCAAACCTTCATCTTAAACCCGCCAAATTACCATCTCTAATTGCACACAATTCTACTAAAATTATCGACTACTTAGGCCCCTTGTACTTTCGCTTCAATCAACAACACACCCCTCAACTTTCATTTTTACAAACCTCTTCTCTTGACTTTACCGAACACACCGTGTTTTTGCGGCAACAAACCGTTAGTGATGGGTCAAGGTCAACAAATAAGGAGGGGGGAATCTGAAGAAGAAGAAGAAGAGAAAAAATCCTCTTACCAGATCAAAACTAAGTCAATTACCCATAAGAGTTCAACAGAACGAAATACAAACAACAGTACAGGCTCCCCAATAAGAGACAGAAAAAGAAACACCATCAAAAAGTCATGCTTCATCTGCAATATGATTCCGTAAAGCAACATCCAAAATGGTGGCCGATGCAGTTTCTTAACAGGCCTAAAGAATCAAAAAATTCCTTTACATCACATGCGGTATTGGATCATTGGTTACTTGTCAAACTCAGTGTGTGGTCTCAGTGCTCAGTAGTATAGCAAAAATTCTATACGTTGGTATTATCTAAACGCACCAATACGATCACGAATCATTTACGTAGTTCCTGCAACGGGGTGGGGTTGGGGAGTTTTCCTCAGTATGGGAATAACCTTTTGCGGTTCTTCTTCTTCTCAGGAGTGGCAAGTATTGCTTTCACCCCATATGTAGTCATCTGGAAGTTCTCAAAGGCCTGAGAAACTACTTCCACCTGTGTGACAAGGAAATTCGGCACCGGGTTTTGGTTCATATCAGGAGAGACCCATTCATTTGTCACATGAAACCAAGAAATGTTACCCTTGCAAATTTCTTTCTTCAAAAATAAGCATAGAACAAATTTACTAACCAGTTCAGGCTTCTTGGCGTACACGCTCACGATCTTGTCCTGACAAACAGCAGGGACTAAGTGACTGATGCGCTCCACTGGTATCGTGAATCTGTCCGTGCTGTCATAGTCCTGAGAAAGGAATAGATCAAAGGAAAAGTCAATGTGATTGGAAGCTTCAAATATTGTATGTGCTTGGCAATGAATCCTGATCTACACTCTCTAGTGGAAGCCATGATTGCCTTCTTTACATGACAGTAGCAGTCACATGGGGAGACAAATTAAGGGTAAAAGTTGGCTTGGGTTAAAGGTTATTAGTATTTAATAGTACCTGAAAAAACTTGACGCTGGGAGTGGATGGACATCGCATGAGGAAAAGATCAAGACCGGTAAGAAGAAGCAGAAACAAAAGTAAACAAGCAAAGGAGTTGAACCGCCAGAATTTTACAGTTAGTTACCTCTCAAGAGGATTGGAACTTCCACGGGTTAAGTCGATCTTGACAGTGCTCACAGCAATATCTTCTTCCTTGAGTGTAACATCACTAGATCTCTATTTTGAGCAGGCAGCGGATGTTGGTTGAGAAACAAAACAGTACTAGTAGTACTTCTAGAAAGCAATGAGAGCACTTATGTGTCATGTTACCACCTGGGAGCATATAATGTCCTGCGGAGTGACGTCCTTGAAGTGGTCTAGATTTTCCTTTGGAACCGCAAACTCATTGCAGAACTGGAACCCATAGAGCACAGAGGCAAACATTACAAAAGCTAATAAAGAATAGGCAGCGACAGCAAGAGAGAACACTCTCCCACTCCACACCGACATATACAAGTTCGCCTCCTACCTGGTATAGATCTCTTCTCCTGATGCGTAGAACCAAATCTCGGGCCTCTTTGAGTTCTGGTCTTTCGTCAACTTCAATTCTTTTCAATATTGTGTCATCCAGCTGTGCAAACATTATAAAACAGAGGACACTGATGATTAAACAAAGGTGGAATAACAAAATGACCCGATGATGAACTCGGATGATAGACGTTCAGAGTCGGTTGATGTTCAAGATGTTCAGACCTTCCAAAACTCTCCAGGATTTTGAACAGCGTCAGCAATTCCAAAGGCCTCATTTGCTTTGGTTAGGGCATCAACAGCCATGAGTTCTATCCCCTGAAGATTAGAGAACCCGTGTAAACTTCAAACAGCATAATATTTTATTCCAGAATGTAAGGAGTTTCACCTTCACTTTAGCATGTGTATAGATTGTGCGGTGCATTTCTGCTCGAGTCGAAAACAGCTTGTATACCGTGAGATCTACAAACAATGAACCATCATCATCAACAATAGTGTACAGTGAAGTAGCTGCAGTAATTTAGGATTAAGTTCAAATAATACTAACAGTCTTTGGCACGGTAACAAATCTCATCACCCAAAACCCTCATGGATTCCATTAACCTGGATGTCAACAAAGCACCCAGAAGACAAGTTCACATCAAAATAAAATGGTCCCAACTTCTCTCCCGGTGGGTCATATGAATCAACTTTCAGCCTAGCAGCAATTACGGTAACATGATGTTTGTTTCAGATAAAAGCTTTCATGAAATCATACGCAGGTCAGAGTAAAAGTGCATAATCTTTGGAGGAGTACACACCTCGCAAACATAAAACCACAGCCAACTCCACAAGCCCAAGAATCCCGAATAAGGTAGTCAAACCTAAATAAAGAGTATTGGGATTGGCAAAGCAAAATGTAATCATCACAAACAAGAATATAACCAAGATGAGGTAAAAAGAAGAAAAGATGACTCACTTGTCAACATCTACTCCATTCCGGCCGTTTGCAACAATGTCATAGAGAAACTGCTTTCCAGTGGGACTCTACACCCAAAGAAATTTCAACAATTAACAAACTTAACGCAAGATAAACGTCTAGATAAAGCTCAGAATGTGAGACAACTTACATTGTGAGAACCATGTTCAGTACTTGCGACGACCATTTCCTGCCAAAAGAACAGAGAAACAAGAGTAACTGATATCAGTTGGTGTTCATTATGCATCTACTAATGGACAAAGTTGAGTTGAGGAGAGGAAAGAAGGGAAAATTAGTGCCATGTGACTCTAAACCTTTGCTTTCTTTAGGCATTCTGGTTCAATGTCAATGTGGTGCTTGTCAACAATGTAGTCTATCATGCTGATAGACATGTCCTCATGAGACCTGAAAACAAACTTTGCCCTGTCAACTTTGGAAGTGTCACAAGTCATGCTGGAGGAAGTGCTCAGCCTTAAGGATACTCATCAGAGCATCTTATGCTCTAGTAACCTTGGATATGAGAAACTCTCTCAATACATCCGATGACAGATCATTACCGCAGGCAAAATTGAATCTACTAACCATGAGGCGCCATTAAGAAACAGAGGAAGAAATTGACGCTCAAAAGTGTGGCTGAATGGTCCATGGCCGATATCATGCAATAATCCTGGAAAGATGAGAGAAGCAACAGGTAAAGCAAGAAAAAAACAGCTACATACAGAAACATAAAAAAGCAAAATACACTTCACTCACCAGCAAGCTTCACAGTCTTTATATCAAAATCCTCAATGGGAAATTCCGGATCCTTTACAGGTTGAAACAACCATTCAAAAAGGTTGTCCATCAACATAAAAATCAAAAAGAGGTTTAACAGAACATTTTAGCCTCCGTACCTGCTGAGCTCTGAGACGATAAGCTACTTCTCCAGCCAAATGGTACACCCCTAACGAGTGCTCGAACCGAGTGTGCACCGCTCCAGGGTACACCATGTTTGTTAGTCCTGCAAACAAGTAATTATCACTCAGTGGAAAGAACGAGTAAATCAAGGTACAAAACGAATAGTCTAGGAATGGATCTCCGAGAAGCGTTAACAATCACCAAGTTGCTTGAGATCCCGAAGCCTGCGTCATGGAATAACATAGTCAGAGTTGTGTTCTTGATTATGAGAAACTGAAGTTAAAATTAACATGTATGGACGTCGAACTTGCCTCTGAAATTGTTCAGTATCGACGAACTTCAGAGCAAGCTGAAACACAATGAAGAGAAACAGAATCCATCGTCAAACTCACCAACCCTTCCTTCCAGAAACAAAGGTAGCTAATAAGAGAATGATCTCTGGATCAAACCAACAAGAGATCATATTGTCAACGAACGCACTCCACATTAGAAGAATTAGAAGCGACTGTTGCTGAAACAAGTAAAGAGAGAGGAAGAAGAAAAAGAAGACCGAAAAAGGACGTAGAAATGCTGCTTCCAAGAAAGAGTCAAAATGCTAAAACTGGAATGCGATTGCTCGACGTTACGGAAGCTATAGGCATTCGCGTCCAAGATTTCACTAAAACGTTTCGAAACCTTAAGGACGAACGGTTACTTGCAGACTACCAAGGATATTCCTCCTACGCAACATCGGCGTTCGTTTCATCAATTCCGTGGACGCAAATCAAATCTCCGTTAATGGATAAAGAATTCCGGCCAGAGAGCACAAACTGGACTAGCTCAACCATAAACACAGATTCCGCCGGCAATCGAGTAAAACTTCAGATAGTAATTGATAAATCGGATTCGATAGCTAACGAACAAAATCGAACGGAACAAACAGAAGCAACAACGGCGCAGAAAACGAGTTGAAACGGAGATTACGAACACGCATGACCGACGAAAACGCCGGAGGAAAAAACGATGGAAACGCACTAGCGAGAGGAAAAGCAGCGAGAGTATGTACCGGCTCCAAGTAGATGGTTCCATGGACGTTGTCGAGGATTTCCTTCGAGAATCTGCGATTCTGGCAGTAAGACGCATAGTTGGAGGCGCAGTAACCGTCGTTGGAGGAAGCTCCCATCGTCGTCGGCCTCAGCTCCGGTATCGGACTGCGAATGCGGGAACGCCGCTCTCACTGTAATACCTGGAGAAGACGGAGGAGGAGGAGGAGGAGAAGAAGACGACGATGTTAAAAACCGAAAGCACACAGAGAAAGGAAGCTACTAAGTAAGGCCGGGAGAGACGATTACTATTCGAATTTCTTGCGAGAGGTGATGGAAATGGTGGAGAAAGAGAGGGAAGATAGAGAAGCGGCAAGGAGGGGAGGTATAAATAAGCACTGGAGGAGTGAGCAATTTTTCGGCGAGAATGGGGGACTGAGCAGAGGTGGTGTGGTGAATTGGCAAAGTGCCGCCAAAAAGCTGGATTTCCATCCTCACGCGCTCGGTTGCACGCTCGAATCGCGTGGAGGTCTTTGTTAATTGACAAGAAATTAGTAAAGACTAAAGATTAAAGAACATTCCGTCGGTGGTACTGACGGGAGTAACGGCGGGACATGCAATTATGAGTAATTGATATCGATTAAAGTGAACGGTAAATTAAACCGCCGTCTTTAACTGTCTCTCCAATTATTTAGGAGAAATACTTACCTGGTGGTTTCCCCAGCCAGCTGGCTTTGGTAGGGGTGCGTCATTGGCAGCTACAATTTGCACTTTGCGAGGGCACACGTCATCACAGAGTATTGGAATTTCATCTTTAAGAAAGACAGAATATTGGAATTTAGACACGCTCGTGGGTAGAGAATAAAACAGAAAACCTGCTTTCGTGATGCGCAAGGCATATAAAACTCCTTTGTCTGTAAGTATTGAAGTCCTTTCTTCTGTAAGTACCAATTATGAGGATTGTCGAATCAGAATATTTTCGATTTGGTCTTTAACTATCATACAAAGTACAAACATGCAAACATCGTTCACTAATTCTATGTTAAATTCATAATAATAATAATATCATTAACATGAAGCCTGGAACTGCTCAGGGGACTCGGAGGACAGAAGCCTGGAATGTCCTGGGCTTCCCAAGCCCCAGCTCCCCGCAAGCAGCCATCTGGTCCTCAACTCTGCTCTGCTAACAATGAGCAGTTTCCTTGTGCTAGTAGATTACGGAACTCGATCATTCTGTCTATGCTGGTTGGTATGAATTGGGAGCCACAGTGAGGATTAAACTGAATGAGATTAATCTTGCACGGAATGGCTTTAACTAGATAGATCAGCTTCCTTGCATCCTCAACGCTGACAGACAACAACAATCAGATCCACTCAAGATTTCAGACCAGAAGGGGAAAACTCCAGTGGAGTATGGACCAACGAGTGCTTTCACAAGCCATGAGAAAAGGTTTATCAGCATCTAACCTGTCAGTTACACCAGCAAGCATTACATACTCCAACAACAGCACTTTGTACTTGTTCTATAAGTGAAGCTCCTGACGCAGTGTGTCGAGAAGCAAGCTGATATTATGCTCGCAGTTGGCATGATGCAGTTTCTTACCTGCAAATATATTTGGTTGTGGGAAAGTAGGCGAAATCTTTATCAATATATGAGCTTCTGCTTGTTAAGGCAACACAGCTCATGCTGGGATTCACTCACCTCATCAGTTGTTGCACTTAGACTGACAGCCAAAGCGGAGTTCGATTCATGGAGAAATCGCTCGAGTTCGGGAACAAGCCCGCCTGCAGAAACAGTGGCCTTCCGGGGGCTGAACTGAAGTCCTTGCTCATCCACCATTATGTACTTATATTAAATTTTCAATGTTCTGAAGAGGTTCTTCCATTCCCTGCGAATCATCAAAAAGTAGCAGCCATTTAAAATTACAATCAGTTTGTTACAGGTACCACTTTAGATCATCTAAATCAGAAGTTATGTTGACTGTTGAGACTACACCTACTATGAAGACCACGTTAGTGATACAACCAACTTCACTTGTGAGCAGATGCCTTGCAAATACAGCTTGCTCTACTATCTCGGCTGCAGTAAGATGTCTTGTCAAACCCATCCTGCAAAATGGATCAAGGAAATGCAGCATGAAGCAGCCAAGAAACATGAAGAGATGATAGATAGACTTGGATTTCAAATGGGAAAGGAAGAAAAAGCTTCCCTGCCAGTGTAGCAGAACTGACAATTCATAGCACATCCCACCTGAATCGAAACACAAACTGTCGTCCTACCTCTCTATCACATGGTATCATGACTGCTTCTATAACAAGTCTATCATTCAGCCTGAATAAAATCTGCAACATCCTGTGAGTTTCAAGATCAATGAGAAGATTCTCGTAGCTTATTCAAGGTTCGAGACAAATCACAAGCAGGTATAAGTTTTGAACAAAATAAGGAAGAGACATGGCGCAAAGCATTCTATCAAAATGGAGGGCAGGAATTAGCATTTCAGAAGGTTAAAAGGATTACCTTTCTAGTTCCATCAGACGCAGATGAAGAACGCACCGAGGGGTTGGCCGTGTCTGAAAAGAAGCGGAAGCCAAGAGTGAAAATGAGGGCGAAATTATTTGGTACTAGAAAGGTAATTGGCAGAATCAAGAAGACGCTGGGCGCCACCTAGGCGAGGAGGCACCGCCCAGGCCGATTAGTCGTTGCCTAGGCGAGATTAAACGTCGAAAAAATGATAAATATGTAAGTTTAGAGTGCAAGATCAAACATAACATTCATAAGTTCGCTGATTTCCAGTTCTGTAACTGACAATATTCAAGATAACAATCATTCAAGTTGTAACATAGAAGGAAACAAACATAATAAAACATGACAAATGTTAAGATAAGCCATAAAGGCGATGACAAGCTAATAAACTCCAAGTTGATCACTCATCATCTTCATTCATATAGTTCTTGTTAACCACAACATCCTCCTCGAAATGAATGACCTCACTTTCCTCGTCATCTTCTTCTTCAGACTCAAACTCCTCATCGGCAAGGTCTCTCACTAATCTGGCACTCCTGCGAGGTTGAAGATTCTCACTAGCTCCCTTGCCTCATCAAATGCCAATTCTAATTCTCTTTATCATCTAAAGCCTAAAGATGAAAAGAAGCTAGAGAATCAATCGAAAGAGAAAGAATAATTAGTACCTTGAATGCTACAGACCGACGGCGAGGACAAGTCACGACTGGGCACTGGCAATGCTGGAGACCGATGGCTCGCGATTCTGGAGAATGGCGGAGAGGACGTGGCGCAGCCGGCGACGAAGCCCCCTGCTGCAAACTTGCGATGCTAGAGAAGACGGCTGGAGAGGAGGGATGAAGGCAGTCGACTGTTGGAGAGAAGGGAGAGAGGTGACGAACTCGAGAGGATGGAGAAGACGGCTGGAGAGGATGAGTGGGACTGTGGGAGGGCTGCTGCTCAGCTGATCGACTTGCCCATTAGGGTTTTCCCCTTTTCGGCCTATCCAAAACGCACAGCTCCATCTTTTTTTTTTCTGGGCGTCGCCCACAGCTTGGCATCGCCGATCCAACCTAGTACTCGCCCCCTAGGCGTTCTTCAACGCGATTCCGCATTTATTGCGCCCAGCAACTTCGCCCAGGCTTCCTCTCCATGTTTCCTCCTCGCCTAGCTACTAAACGCGCCTAGGCGAGTGTTCTTGAACACTGTATACTGATTGAGGACCCTTCGACATTCAAGTCATACTTAATAGAAATTAGAGGAGGGGAAAATACCGTATATTGCTATATGCAAGTCCAGCATCAACACGTATTATTTCTGTTAATCACTCAACGATGATAAGTTCACTGCTAATACGAAGTGATAATTTCCAGGTAGACTCATTGGACAATACCTATTGATACTATGGATTATGGAACTCCAATAGTAGCAAAATGGCAATCACCTCTAGAATACAATACTCGGAAGAGAACCCTCAGAGCAACGACGAAGCAGGAGATGAAAGATCCATCACATCCAAATTCATTGCATCACCTTTCCCCATTTCCGACACCAATACATTTGGAAGCCAGTTGATGCCCCAGCAGTGATGCACATGCAGGTCCTCTTTCCAGTGACATCTCCTCTTTCCATATGCAAATACAGCCATGTTCAGAAGTCAGAACTAATCCCCGTGGTCACAAAGAAGATATGAAATGTTAGGCTTGCCCTTCCAGAAAGTACCATGATGTATCTAGAACTTGTATGCAAAGTGCCATTTTAGTTCAGTAAACGGGAAACAAACATGCCACATTACCCTTAAACTGGAAAGCCCAATTGAATATCTCAGGTAGATTTCACAGTTATGATGTTTTCCTCCCAATCCACATCAGCAGGTATGTGTGTGATTGGATTATGGACAACAACAATAAATGTGCTTGCAGGGAAACTAATTCACAGGAGGTAATAGAAAACCTTACCAGTACTTAATCAAGCCATCCCAACTGCAGGTAGCCACTTTACTTTGTTCCAATTGATGCCATTCACACCCAATGCACACTTGTTCATGGCATTTTAAGGTCTTGAAAACTTTGCAGCTCTTCCAGTCCCGGACTTCCCAAAAAGCCAGCCCCGGGCCGCCAGAACCAACACCTACCCTCACCATCTCCCGACATAACAAACCGCCCGTCGGGAGAGAAATTGACCTGGCAGGCATATCCTCATACAATGTGTCCAGCAAACCTCTTCTTCTTATTCAACTGAAACCTTTACCTAGTGCTATATATAATATTTGGTTATCCAAACTCTGTGCTGCTAGCCAGTTTGAATTGGGATGAACAGATATCGAAGGCATGGAATGCACGTGAGGCTTACTGATATACTTTATCACAGCAGGTATCCTGAATTCCCACACAAAGCGATTTATCATCGCTTGATGCGATGAATCTACTGCTGTTATCCACGAAAGTGATGGTGTTCACTGCCCCTAAATGCATCATACTCTTGAGTGATCTGGCCACTATTCATATCCCACTGCACTATTTTCTTATCACTCATCCCGGCCAACAATACATTCTGCTTATCTTCATCAGGATTCAACTTAACAACATAAGGAACCTTTCGAGGTTGAAAATTTTGAAATCACCTGACCAGTCTCAGTATCCCAATACTAGATATTCTTATCATACCCAGCGGACAGAAACTTAGTCCCATCATTCGTGTAACATATGTCTCTAACTGCCTTAGAATGAACGACTCATGTAAGTTCTCATACACTAGCCTAAATTGAACACATCCCAGATCTTCACCTTCGTGTCCATCCCAGCTGAGAGAATCAAATGCCCAGATTTGGGGAAGAATCTGATGGCGGAAACACCCTTCGTATGCCCGCTCGATGTTGCGTCTTCCACAAACCCTAACTTGTGATTCATCCGGAGCGGTGGATTTCGCTGGAAGGAGACGCGGCGGAGAGGAGTCTGGAGAGGAGCTAGGGGTTTCGAACTCGGTGGCGGCGCGCTCTTCCATTCCTTCTCCGTCGTTGTAGGATGCTTGGAGAGTATCCATTTTTCGCTGTTTGTTCGACGGCGATTTTGCGCGGGAGGTGAGAGCAAACAATTCCGAACTCCGAAGACTACCAACTAACTGGATTTTGTTCTGAATGGGCCATATGTTGTTGGGCTCCCGGATTGCGTTAAGGCCCATTCATCGGCTTGAATAGAAAAAGAAAGGGTAAATTGGAAGTTTGATCACGGGAATTGCTAAAAATTTCACGTTTGCCATTAAAATTAGTTTATTTCACTTATAGTCACTAAAATTAGTTCAACAGTTAAAGTTTAGTCACTCTCCGTTAGTATCTGTTAACTTTTGCTAATGTGGCAGTCAACTCAAAAAGTTAACCGTTAAATAAATGACATGGCAATTAAAAATAATTAAATTTAATCTTTTACAATTTCCACTTCACTATAAAAATAAATAAAATAAAACTAAAAAATAATTATAATTATCATCCTCGGCTGCCAGCTCCACATCTTCGCTTCTTCTCCTGTCCCAAGCAAATTTCTCTGAGTCATCGATCGACATCCAAAGCAAAAAAAAAAAAAAAAAAAAAAAATTTAACTGTTACGAAAAAAATTGCAAGGGCAAGAACTCCATCGCCGATAACCATACAAGTTCCAATCAAAGCTAGGCCGAGCAGAGCTTTCTGCAGAAGCTTACTCTTCTCCAGAGCAGATTTCTAGCTGGACGCCTGGACCCAGTTCGATTCCGGAGATTTGCAGCGGACCCATCTTTCTTATACTCGGAGAGCTCCTTATCTGCGAGCTGGAAATTGGGGAAAACAGCAAGATGGGCATGGCGGCAGAGCAGAGAATACAGAGCAATAGTGACACCTTCACCATTATCATCACCTCTAAGCACAATGAAGTGTTGAGAAACCGGGCAGCAATCACAAGCAAGAATAGAATGCACAAGACACACGATTTTTACGTGGAAAACCCAAATCGGGAAAAACCACGGGACCTTTGTCCAAGCCACAACTCCACTAGACTTTGGTGGGATTACAAATCCTCTCTAGACTAGCTAGAGGATTACAAGCACCTCAAGAACACCCTTCTTGGATCAACAATCAACCACAATAGCTCTCACCAACATGGTGGATAACAAGAACAAGAGCAAGACAAAGAAAGGTTGAGAGATATCCAAAAACAGATTCGTACACCTTCTGTCCAGTAGCGATTCCCGACGAACTAGACCTCAGAATGACGATCCCTTCGGTCAGAATGAATCCCAGACAATTACAAACCCACTACTCAAATTTCAGGACAATCCAACGGTTCAATCTTCCAGAACGCGCACTTGAACAGGCTGTCCTGCTGCAGAAACAAAAAGCTGCAGCTCTTTCTCTCTTCTCTCTTTTTCCTTATCTCTTCTCTTTTCTTGATTCTCTCTCTGGAAAAAATGAAAGGTTGAACTCTCTTTTCTCTTTTTAACCAGATAATAACTCTCTATTTTGAAAATAAAGGATCTTCTAGAAACCAACCAAAACTCAAACTCAAACCGGTTAATCCAACCACCATATGAGTTGGACCAACCCAACAAATTTCCCCCTCCAGCTCATATGGGGGGTAGCACCAAACCTGCTTCATCTCGACAGAAGATATGTTTCCCACTTGGTAGAGACTTACTCATCATGTCTGAACCATTGTCATCCGTATGCACCTTGTTGAGCTCCAACAACTTTTCTTCCAAAACATCACGAATCCAATGATATTGAACATCTATGTGTTTCGACCTTGAATGGAAAGTAGGATTCTTGCAAAGATGGATTGCACTTTGACTATCACAATAGAGCACATACCTCTCTTGCTTTATGCCCAACTCTTGAAGAAACTTCTTCAACCATAGCATCTCTTTACAAGCTTCTGTCACGGCTATGTATTCGGCTTCTGTTGTTGATAATGCAACACATTTTTGCAGTTTAGATTGCCATGAAACTGCAGCACCTGCAAAAGTCATCATGTAACCAAAAGTCGACTTTCTAGAGTCCACATCACCTGCCATGTTAGCATCGGTATATCCATCAAGTATGGTCTTGCCGTTACCAAAGCATAGACACACTCTAGAAGTACCTCTCAAGTAGCGAAGAATCCACTTCACTGCTCTCCAATGTTCTTTCCCCGGATTGGAAAGAAACCGACTAACAATCCCAACGGCGTGAGCAATATCCGGTCTTGTGCAAACCATGGCATACATCAAGCTTCCAACAATAGATGCATAAGGCACATTCTTCATTGCTTCTTTCTCTTCATCACTTGTAGGACAATGCTTCACACTCAACTTGAAATGTCCTCCAAGTGGAGTACTAACCGCCTTAGCCTTGCTCATGTTAAACCGCTCAAGAACTCTTTCAATATACCTTTCTTGAGACAACCGAATTTTTCCATTCCTTCGATCCCTAGAGATTCTCATCCCTAGAATTTGTTTCGCCGGTCCTAAGTCCTTCATGACAAAGGATTTACTCAACTCCTTTTTCAATCTATCAATCTCTCCAACATTCCGACCCACGATCAACATGTCATCCACATAAAGCAAGAGAATGATGAAATCATTTTCAGCAAAGTATTTCACAAACACACAATGATCGGAGGTAGGTCTTGCATACCCGTTTTTGACCATGAATGAGTCAAATTTCTTGTACCATTGCCTTGGTGCTTGCTTCAACCCATATAAGCTCTTTCTCAATCTGCATACAAGATCTTCTTTGCCTTTAACCTCGAACCCTTCCGGTTGATCCATGTAGATTTCTTCCTCTAAGTCACCATGAAGAAACGCCGTCTTCACATCGAGTTGTTCAACTTCCAAGTCCAAACTTGCATCCAACCCAAGCACAACTCGGATAGAAGACATCTTCACCACGGGAGAGAAAATTTCTTCAAAGTCAACACCTTTCTTTTGGTTGAAACCCTTCACAACTAGTCGCGCCCTAAACCGAGGCTTTGAACTAGTTTCCTCCGTCTTTAACTTGTAGACCCACTTGTTCTTAAGTGATCTTTTTCCTTTGGGTAGTTTCACCAAGTCATATGTGTGATTCTCTTGCAAAGACGTCATCTCTTCTTGCATTGCTTTGTTCCACTCCTCCTTGTCTTCATGAGACATGGCTTCTTGATAATATTCGGGTTTCCCCCGTCAGTCAACAATAGGTACTCATGAGGGGAGTACCAAGTGGAAGCTTTGCGATCTCTTGTTGATTTTGTTGGTTCGGATAGAGGTTGCTCTTCTTCAACTTGTTCTTCTTGCTCCAATTGCTCTTCTCCTTGCACTTCTTGATCTAGTGCACCTTGGGGCTCATCATGCACTACTTCTTCAATATTTTCATGCATTTGGGATGGAGATATAGGCTCCAAATTAACCGGACCAGCTGCTGTATTTTTCTTCTTTTCACCCCTTTCGACATCTTCACTTGTCTCATCTTCAAGAAAAATCACATCTCGGCTCCGAACAATTTTCCTTGCAATTGGATCCCATAATTTGTACCCGAACTCTTCACGCCCATAGCCCATGAATATACATGGCTTTGCTTTGTCATCAAGCTTTGCTCTCTCATCTTTTGGAACATGAACATAGGCTTTGCAACCGAACACTCGCAAGTGTTCATATGAGACTTCCTTTCCCGTCCATACTCGTTGAGGCACATCACCCTCCAATGGGACCGATGGCGAAAGGTTGATTAGATCAACCGCGGTCCGCATTGCTTCTCCCCAAAATGATTTAGATAGCTTGGCATGTGAGAGCATACACTTGATTCTCTCACAAATTGTTCTATTCATCCTCTCGGCGACACCGTTTTGTTGTGGAGTCTTGGGTACACTTTTCTGCAGTTTAATTCCATGCAATCTGCAGTAGCTTTCGAATGGACCTCTATACTCTCCCCCGTTATCAGCCCTTACACACTTCAACTTCAGGCCGGTTTCCCTTTCCACTTCAGCATGAAATTGCTTGAAAACATCTAGCACTTGATCCTTCGTTTTCAAAGCATATGTCCACACCTTCCTTGAGTGATCATCGATGAAGGTAACATAATAGCTTGCACCACCAAGAGTTTTATCTCGTATAAAACAAACATCGGTGTGAATTAGATCAAGTACCTTACTCCTTCTAGAAGGTGGAAATCTATGAAATGCAACTCTATGAGTTTTTCCGGCTAAGCAATGAACACAAGTTTTAAGAAGAGTACCTTTAGCTCCGGGCAAGAGTTGTTTCTTGGGCAATATTTGCAGCCCCTTCTCGCTCAAATGACCGAGTCTCTTATGCCAAAGCTCAATGGAAGAATCTTTCTCAGCAACATTGATTCCTCCCTTGCTATGCTTTGCATTCGTCATGCAGAGCGTACTTTCCTTCTTGCCTTTAGCCACCACAAGAGAACCTCTTGAGAGCTTCCATTTTCCTTCTCCAAAATAGTTGGTATAACCATCATCATCAAGCTTTCCCGTGGATATCAAATTCAGCCTCATGTCAGGAACATGTCTCACATCCTTCAAGACTAGCTTGCAACCCGTGTTGGTCTCTAGATGAATATCACCCATGCCAACAATCTTTGATGCGCCATCATTTCCCATCCTCACACAACCATAGTTACCGTTTGTGTAGGAAGAGAAAAGATCAACCCGTGAGGTCACATGAAATGAGGCACCTGAGTCAACAACCCATGTACTCTCTAGACAAGCAAGGTTAACAAAACCGGCATCACAAACAATGACCACATCACCATCTGTGGCAGCAACAGTAGTATCATCTTTTTCTCGGTTTTCCACACCTTTTTCTCTAGCTTGTTCCCGTTTCAAGATTCTGCACTCTCCCTTCATGTGTCCGGGCTGGTTGCAATGATAACATGTGATTTCTCCTCTTGGTCTTGACAATGATTTTGATCTCCCTTTTGATCTCCCTCGGCTGTTACTTCGATTCTGAGAGTTCTTGAAGTTGGAATTTCGATTTCTGCTTCTTCCACGACTTCCAGAATTATCCGCCATCAAAGCATGTGACTCTGATGTAATCCCCAACTCTTTTCTCCTTGCCTCTTCATTCAACATGCTATCCTTGACAATGTCCATCGTCAACTTGCCATTAGGTACTGAGTTGCTAAGTGAGACCACCAAAGTCTCCCAACTATCCGGCAAAGAACTGAGAAGTAACAATGCTTGCACTTCATCATCAAGTGCTAACTTCATAGTAGTTAGCTGGTTCACAAGCACTTGAAAGTCACTCAAATGCTCCGAGACACTATGCCCATCCTTGTACTTCAAGTTCACAATTCTTCGAATGAGTGAGGCTTTATTTTGAGCCGATTGCCTCTCATACATGGACTCCAATTTCTGCCACAATTCATCTGCTCTTGTTTCTTTTGCAACATGATGAAAGATGCTTTGGTCAATCCATTGTCGAATGATTGCCACCGTCTTTCTATGCAAGACCTCCCATTGCTTCTCGGTCTTGTCTTCCGGCTTCACGCTGCCATTTTCAATTGGCTCATAGAGATCCTTGCAAAACAGAATATCCTCCATCCGTGGCTTCCAAATAGAGTAGTTGGATGATGTCAACTTAATCATTGCTCCACTTGAGTCATCCATTCTTGCCATTCACCAAACACAGCCCCCAAACAACCTAATGCTCTGATACCTCCATCGCCGATAACCATACAAGTTCCAATCAAAGCTAGGCCGAGCAGAGCTTTCTGCAGAAGCTTACTCTTCTCCAGAGCAGATTTCTAGCTGGACGCCTGGACCCAGTTCGATTCCGGAGATTTGCAGCGGACCCATCTTTCTTATACTCGGAGAGCTCCTTATCTGCGAGCTGGAAATTGGGGAAAACAGCAAGATGGGCATGGCGGCAGAGCAGAGAATACAGAGCAATAGTGACACCTTCACCATTATCATCAGCTCAAAGCACAATGAAGTGTTGAGAAACCGGGCAGCAATCACAAGCAAGAATAGAATGCACAAGACACACGATTTTTACGTGGAAAACCCAAATCGGGAAAAACCACGGGACCTTTGTCCAAGCCACAACTCCACTAGACTTTGGTGGGATTACAAGTCCTCTCTAGACTAGCTAGAGGATTACAAGCACCTCAAGAGCACCCTTCTTGGATCAACAATCAACCATAATATCTCTCACCAACATGGTGGATAACAAGAACAAGAGCAAGACAAAGAAAGGTTGAGAGATACCCAAAAACAGATTCGTACACCTTCTATCCAGTAGCGATTCCCGACGAACTAGACCTCAGAATGACGATCCCTTCGGTAAGAATGAAGCCCAGACAATTGCGAACCCACTTCCCAAATTTCAGGACGATCCAACGGTTCAATCTTCCAGAACGCTTACTTGAACAGGCTGCCCTGCTGCAGAAACGAAAAACTGCAGCTCTTTCTCTCTTTTTCCTTATCTCTTCTCTTTTCTTGATTCTCTCTCTGGAAAAAATGAAAGGCTGAACTCTCTTTTCCCTTTTTGACCAGATAATAACTCTCTATTTTGAAAATAAAGGATCTTCTAGAAACCAACCAAAACTCAAACTCAAACCGGTTAATCCAACCACCATATGAGTTGGACCAACCCAACAAATCTCCCCCTCCAGCTCATATGGGGGGTAGCACCAAACCTGCTTCATCTCGACAGAAGATATGTTTCCCACTTGGTAGAGACTTAGTCATCATGTCCGAACCATTGTCATCCGTATGCACCTTGTTGAGCTCCAACAACTTTTCTTCCAAAACATCACGAATCCAATGATACCGAACATCTATGTGTTTCGACCTTGAATGGAAAGTAGGATTCTTGCAAAGATGGATTGCACTTTGACTAGCACAATAGAGCACATACCTCTCTTTCTTCATGCCCAACTCTTGAAGAAACTTCTTCAACCATAGCATCTCTTTGCAAGCTTCTGTCACGGCTATGTGTTCGGCTTCTGTTGTTGATAATGTAACACATTTTTGCAGTTTAGATTGCCATGAAACTGCAGCACCTGCAAAAGTCATCATGTAACCAGAAGTCGACTTTCTAGAGTCCACATCACCTGCCATGTTAGCATCGGTATATCCATCAAGTATGGTCTTGCCGTTACCAAAGCATAGACACACTCTAGAAGTACCTCTCAAGTAGCGAAGAATCCACTTCACTGCTCTCCAATGTTCTTTCCCCGGATTGGAAAGAAACCGGCTAACAATCCCAACGGCGTGAGCAATATCCGGTCTTTTGCAAACCATGGCATACATCAAGCTTCCAACAATAGATGCATAAGGTACATTCTTCATTGCTTCTTTCTCTTCATCACTTGTAGGACAATGCTTCACACTCAACTTGAAATGTCCTCCAAGTGGAGTACTAACCGCCTTAGCCTTGCTTATGTTAAACCGCTCAAGAACTCTTTCAATATACCTTTCTTGAGACAACCAAATTTTTCCATTCCTTCGATCCCTAGAGATTCTCATCCCTAGAATTTGTTTCGCCGGTCCTAAGTCCTTCATGGCAAAGGATTTACTCAACTCCTTTTTCAATCTATCAATCTCTCCAACATTCCGACCCACGATCAACATGTCATCCACATAAAGCAAGAGAATGATGAAATCATTTTCAGCAAAGTATTTCACAAACACACAATGATCAGGACGATCCAACGATTCAATCTTCCAGAACGCTCACTTGAACAGGCTGCCCTGCTGCAGAAACGAAAAACTGCAGCTCTTTCTCTCTTCTCTCTTTTTCCTTGTCTCTTCTCTTTTCTTGATTCTCTCTCTGGAAAAAATGAAAGGTTGAACTCTCTTTTCCCTTTTTGACCAGATAATAACTCTCTATTTTGAAAATAGAGGATCTTCTAGAAACCAACCAAAACTCAAACTCAAACCGGTTAATCCAACCACCATATGAGTTGGACCAACCCAACATGAAGCACAATGATGAATGGAACAGAACAAAGTAGTAGTACAGAGAAAGCTGGTTGCATACTGAAAGTCCATTTCCCTCGTTTGGAGGAGACGATGATAATAATGAAATGGTGGAAGGAGAAAGCTATACCCAGATGGGCAAATGTGAGCGATAGGGACGGGTTCGACTAGAAGGTGGGCGTGAAGTAGATGGTGAAATTGGTGTTGCATTATTCGGGGGGTGGCGAGTGGCTTCCCCAACAGAGGTGTCGCGGCGAGGTCGGGGAGTCGAGCGCCTGTCGGATAGATGTCGAGATTAGGTCTTTGACCGGAGAAGAAGCGAAGATGTGGAGCTGGCACCGAAGGTAAGGGAAGGAGTGTAGGATGATAATTATAATTATTTTTTTAGTTTTATTTTATTTATTTTTTTACTGAGGTGGAAATTGTAAAAAATTAAATTTAATTATTTTTCAATTGTCACGTCACTTATTTAACGGTCAACTCTCTGAGTTGACTGCCACATCAGCGAAAGTTAATAGAGACTAACGGAGAGTGACCAAACTTGAACTGTTGAACTAATTTTAGTGACTATAAATGGAATTAACTAATTTTAGTGACAAACGTGAAACTCTTTAGTAATTCTAGTGACCAAACTTGTAATTTACCCAAAAAAGAAATTGAATGAAAGCTTGGATATAAATTAAACATTGGATCGGACGTCTCGTTAATGTTATAGATCCCGCAAACGGAGAATTTAATGGTAGAAAGAGAAATGTCAAGAAATTAATTCAATTTTTTGTGACATTGAAATTTAAAGGTCACATCCAATTTCTGTGAAAACAATCAATTTTTTTTTAGGAAAACAATCGATTTCATTCTTCAAGTTATGGATTAATAAAAATAATTATTGAATAACGCAATAACTGTATTAAAAGTGAATTTATGGTGGTGTCTAGTAACTATAATGAACATAGAATTAGGGCAGCAAATGAGCCGAGCTACTCGCGAGCAACTCGAGGCTCGAATCGGGAAAAATTCGTTCGAAACTCGACTCGTTTACTAACGAGTCAAGCTTGAGCTTAGCTTTGTTAAGCTCGCGAGCTAGCTCGACTCGGTGGTTTGTTGAGCTCAACTCGTGAGTTGGTTCATTTAGAGCTCATGAGATGTCTCAACATTGTGGTTTGAGGGCCAACTTGATCACCGACTTATGGACGAATCGATCTAATTTGGACTTTCATAATTAATAGGATTATTAAATTATACATCTCACATCATGTGAAGTTTAACATGTTGAACATGTAAGAAAATATGCCTTAATTTTTAATTCTATAAAGAAATTATGTACAAAATTGTTTCGATACTATGAAATAATATAATTTGAACTAGTTAACATTTATTAACTAAACAATATGACACCTACAAATTATAATATAAGATTAATTAATGTTGAACAATTAATTATTTATTTATCGTTACATCAATCACATGTACCATACACGATATACAAAATGAATGTATCAAATACGATCTAAGAATTTAGTAAACAAGTTTAGCTCGACTCGACTCGTTAATATATGGCTCGAGCTCAGCTCATTTGTTAACGAGTAAAGCTCAACTGGGGAAAAACTTGGCTCATTTGCAGCCCTATATAGAATTATGGTTCCATACCAATCCATATGAAGATAATTATTCAGCACACTAACATCTAGTGAATTTGATTCTATATTTATGAAATTTTAAAGGTTAAGCATGTTATAAAACTAAAAAAAAACTTCTATTGATAATATAAAAGGAGTTAGAGTGTCTCCTAGATATATAAGTAGAGCTTCTTTGAGTTAGTTTTCAAAGAGAATGAGGTATATGTAAAAATGAAAGACTTGAAGTAACACAACATTTGTATGGATATAACCCTCGAAAAATGTCCGTGATGAAACACAAAATTTTAATTGTGAAGGGATAAAAAAAAGCTCTTGTGTTGGTCTTTTCCGGTAGCAACTGTCTGCTCTTGCTTCGGAGGTATCGGTGATGTGGTTTGGACTCTCGAGGAAAAATCTTCTCATCTTGTTATCCATTTTTTTCAAGAGTCGTAATTTATAATCAAGATTTGAGTAGTTATCTATCCGTTAATATGCGAGTGCGCAACATCTCCATCCGTCTTGAACTCTTTATTTATATAAAAGTTGCCTTACAAGGTATTTCAAGAATAATATGACACTTGAAGCTAGCCCCACCTACAATATTCTTCTTGGTTATGCCCAATTTTATAAGTAGAAAGTTTAAGAATAATATGATAATCGATATTAATATGTTTAACTCCTTTTAAAAAAATCATTGTAATTGTCCTAGAATTGTGGTTGGACTCAATCTACATGGTAGATCTTTCCACTTCAACCTACATCAGTCAAACAAATTGTCTTTATCTCAAGACAACGAGTTTCAATAGTTTCACTCTATTGATCGCTTTCATCTGATCTTAAGCTTCTTGTTAAATCGTTCAGCCAAATGGCAAAACTTTGTTCTGTGAGACAGAACACATAATGACAAGGAAAACAGAACACACTTATTTGGACTACACAAGTGTCTAGAGCAACTGCAAATTTTGACCATAGCCAGCATATATGCATGTGTTTTATTGATACAAGACGGCCAATTACCATTCAACGAAGCATCCTGTGGCTAAATTGGTAAAATGAACAATCCCAAAGGTGAGCGCACAAATGAATGATGATGAAATCATACAGCATGCACAATGCAGAGATTTCCACACTTAATAACGAATACACACAAATGTTTGGTTCAAGGGTTCTTCATCTTGATCCTTAGCCTCCTCGCAACCTGGGCAGCTTTGGGATGAACTGGCCTCTTGCTGCCATCGGACTGTTCCACCTCCACCCAATTAATCACCTTCAATATGACGGATTGAGGGACCTTCTTACCATCCCCGTCTGCATTCATGCTCTTACTGTTACTGCTATTCCCTCTTGATGATGATGATGAAGATCTCTTCATGCCAGTTTCCAATGCTTTCTCCACGAAATCCATGAACCATGTCCCGGCTTCAGACTCGATCTCCTTGCCCAGCTTGATCGTGCTACATAAGCTGGAAGAACCATTGGCAGCAGCAGCAACACCAGCAGAAATAGTTGTGGTGGTTGTTGGTTTCCTGTTCTCATCATTCTCGCTCACTGCTTCAAGTTGCAGCTTCCCAAGAGGACTAGATGGCATCATCTTTCTCTCGGAGAACACCTTGCCAGCCGTCGATGATCTCAGGATCCTTGAGCTGGTACCAGAACTCTGCTTCTGCTCAGAAGGGAAGGCAGCAATGGACTTGTACAGGGCTGTTCTTCTTTTTGACTGGTGGTTCATGGAGTTGTGAATGAGTTCATTCAAGATTGGAAACTCTTCCTCTGGATTCTTCAGTACTCGTTTATTGTTGTTGTTGTTAGCCTTTTGATCAGCTTTCGGCGTCGATTCCACAGCAGTAACAGTAGGAGTAGTGGCTGCTTGAATGGAGAGCATATCGTTCACTGCCTGCGCAATTTGGGAGTGGAATTCTATGAACTTGTCGAAACAAGCAGATGGGGCTTCTGGCCTTGCTGATTTTGTCAAATCAGACAACATTCTGCAAACGAATTTACCCCCAACCCTTTAGAAATTCAGAACTGGAATCAAACAGAAAGGAATCAGTTCATTAGTCATTACTTACCTGAGAGATCGGACTAATGTTTCAGTAGCAGAAGCCTCTCTCAATGCCTGGAGAGCCATCTTCTAAGCAGTTTCCCTCTGCTGCACTGCTTCCTGTACATTTGTGACCACCAAAATTTTAGACCCTTCTCTAGTTTTTGCTTTTCAACTAGAGAAAAAAAAAAAAAAAAAAACAGATTGCTGCACACCTTCCCGAGCGTGCTTAGCTTTCCCGGCAGACTCATCGGAAGACTGGTTTCCGGGCTGCCGTAGACCGAATTAACGGACTGAGATTGCTGCTCCGCCGCAGCATTTGTGGTGGACAAGTTTTGTGTTTCTCCGCAGCCCAATTTCAGGGAACCCACTACTTTGGCGTTCCTCATACTCGGTGGCGACGTCGAGCTTTTCTTCCCCTGAAAACAGGCAACGGGGCGAACTTAATTATATGATCAAGAATTCAAGATCGGCACAAATTAAGGAGTAATGGTTCAACTTGAAAGAAGAAAAAGAAAAATGTACCTACAGATGAGATGTAGGGGCTGCTAATCGGGATTCTGGAGTCTCGATCGCCGCAAACGCTTCGACTCCTGGGGAACTTGGAAGCCGAAGAAGGCGCCGCGCAGCTCTTCCTCAGCAAGGGGCTCTCCGCCGCCGCCAACTTGGGATTATCCGCCATTTTCGACAGCAATCCGCCGCCTAGCGAGCATCGAAATCCGCTGTTGCTCTCGCACCCGTCTTTGCTAATCACCGATCTCCCTCTCATTATCATCGGAGACATCAACGGCTTCTTCGCAGAGCTCATCCTCTGTTTCGCCGGCGTTGCACACTGATCGAAATCCAACGGAACCGGTTTCAACGCCATCGGGGAACCAAATTGATTCCGATGATCGTCTCCTCCTCCTCCAATTCCCCAAGAACCTCTCCGATTACCGGAAGCCCTAACCTGGAAATTGACCTGGTTGCTGCTTTCTTTCCTCTCCCCTTTCCCTCTCAGACCCATCAACGGCTCCGGCGTCCCCATCAACGGGTGCCGTCCGGGGAGCGGCTTGGCGCCTTTCACGACCGGGACCGGCGACCCCGGCTCCAGCCTGTCGACGTAGATGAACTGACCCAGCTGCATCTTGTTGCTGAGGACGAAATCGTGCTGCTCGGGAGGCAGGGAGACGTAGATGGAGTGCGAGGAGTCGGAGACTTTGATGTAGAACCCATGTTTGGGGAAGAGGGATTTCTCGTCCAGGTCGGCGGGGACGATGTCGGTGACCTGGAGGAGCGAGCTCCGGTGCTCGCTAGTGGGTTTCGTCCCGGTGTTCATTCCTTCAAGAAGCTTGGACAGGATTCCCGGCGCCAGAGCCGCCATTGGAGGGTGACGTGGAGGAGGATGATGAAACTGAATTCGGCCAGCAGGAAGAAGAAAGAGGGGAACTTGGAAGAGTGAAGGTAAAACTGTGGGTGAGAGTGTGAAGGGTTTTAGATTGGGTTAATGGAGGTCATGGGGACGGTGAGGAAGAGAAGGGGGGAAAAGGGCAGAGTGGCCGTTGGCAACGGTAAGGAAGGGAGAGAGAGAGAGAGAGAGAGAGAGAGAGAGAGAGAGAGAAAATAGAGTGAGAAATTTTTATTTCATTTCGATTTTGTTAAAAAGTTAGAGGGAGAGAGCGTATGGAACGCCGACATTTTTTGTCCAAAGTTTGACGAAATCGGAAAAAAGCTCGTTTGGGGTAGCAAACGACATTTTTTGGGACGAAGGTGGGACCACACCACCTTCGGCAGTCTTCGACTTGCAAGATCTCGAAAAGTTATGCGGAATCAAAAAAAATTCGCGACGATCGGATACCCGAACACAAAGATACGTTCGTTTGAAGTTTCCACCTAGGTTAGGATTTTAAAAAAAAAACAGATCGCATGGTGGGGGTGCGGTCTGCAACCAAACCGCATGGTGGGGGTGCGATCTGCAACCAACCCGCATGGTGGGGGTGCGGTCTGTAAAACCGCCCCATGCCAGTGCGGTTTTCATCGAAAAACGCACCCCCGGGTGGCGGTTTTCGCCTAAACCGCTGGTACGGGTGGCGGTTTTGCAGAAAGGGTGCTATTTTTGGAATTTTTCGGAGTTGGGTGCTATTTTTGGAATTTTTTTTTAAACAGTGCTACTTTTGGAAAAATCCCCCATGGTGGAATGTCAATCTCCAGAGAAAAGCTAATCTCTCGTCTAAAATTTGTTATATTGCATTAGAAGTCACTCGATTTAACATCCGTTTCATCATTGCTAACTAATCGTTTAATTTTGTTACGTTGTCCTATATGAGAATCAACTATGATCGATGGCGTGACCAATAGCTCCACAACGAGTGAAAATCAGACATTTCTTCCTTCTAATGGTGGACTGAGCAGCAAGAGCCAGTAGAGTTGAAGCGGCACTAGCAAACCAACAAATGCAACAACTCCATCGCGAGAAATTGTGAGCACAAAGGTGTGTGGGATGAAGGATGACCATTTCTTCACAATGCACCAGGAATTTGATGAAATAACCAATGATGGAGAGGATACCTTGTTTGAGGTTTGATATGTCATCATACATTCGAGATGAGAACCTCATTGCCTTCGTTAATCGTTCATGAAGGTCTTCCCAAACTTTACTGTTGTGTTGAACCACAACATCCTGCAAAACAGGCCGTTGGAGTCAACCAATAACCAAAACACTGGCTTGATCCCAAGCCGGCCGTAGAGGATCATCTGGAAAAGAGGAAGAAGCACTCGGAACGATCAACTGAAACTTGTTTCTAAAGTGGAGCCTCTGACGCGTGAACGTTTCATGCGTTGGGGTTTCGTAAACGAGAACTAAGAAAAAATGAAAAGTACTGATTTATTATTTTCTTGTGAATAAAACGTAGAGGTTAAGTACATATTTATAGGGAGAACCCTACAAACCGTTTCCCTTCTGAACAAGGAAACTCAATACTAGACCGACTCCTAACCGATTACTTTCTCAACAAAAAGTAATAATATCCCAAAATAACTTAATAATAATAATAATAATAATAATAATAATAATAACACCAACCAAAATTAGTTTAATGACCCAAACGGTCAGAAAACGTGTACTCATCAAAACTCCCCCCTTCAAGCAGCCTCGTCGTTCCACTCGTCCTCTCCTCCTCCGAAATCGCGATCAAAGCGAACACCTGGTTGTTGGACAACGATGACCGAATGTGAAGCGTTCATCAAAGTTGTAGCAGAGACCACCACGACGGCGTTGAGCAGCTTCTTTCGGGGTTAGGTGCCAAATGACTCACCTACTAGCGTGTGGGGGTCCTCGGTTCTGCGGCGGCGCAGCCATAGGATTAGGAGCTGCTTCGTGAAACACGACCACCGGTCCCCGCGGTGCTCCCCGCACGGCTCCCCGCTCGATCGTGATCTATTATTCTCGGTTTTTCGCCAAGCGGTATGCCTCCTCGGTGTTCCGCGGCTCAAATGCACTAATGTAAGCTGAGATTTCCGGCTTAAGTCCTCCCATATAAGTTCCCATGACCGCATCCTTGACTCCTTGCTCCATCTGTGGCAACGGTTGAGGAGCTTCTCGAAGGCTTGCTGGTAATCTTCCACGGTTCCCTTTGCTTGATCTTTCAGAATGCCTCATGCCCAGTCGTCTTCTCCGATGCCCTGAACCTTTTCCAAAACTCGGCACGGAAGTCTTCCCATGTCATCTCCATCCCGCTCTGCGTGAATTCCTCTTCTATCCACATGATCCACTTATTCGCGTCTCCCTTCATATGAAACGACGCCAATGCCACCTTTCGTTCCTCCAAAATGTCCTGGTACCTGAAATACTTCTCGATCTTAGTCATACACCCTGTAGGCTCCTCCTGCCATGTAAACTTGGGAAATTCCAAGGATCGTCGTTCGGCCCTTGAACCAAGCGGTTGCTGACTCCTCTCCCAGTCACGACCTCCCCCTATCGTCGTCGTCCGGTCGCTGCCCGTTCCCTCCTGTTTTGGGTGGGCGGACCCCGAATCCCTTGCCCCATTCGCGCCTAGGCCAGCCTGATTCATAACGGGCCCCCTCCACCACTTAGATCATTCGCCGACGAGGTTCAATCGACTGACGAGCCCACCAGTAGCCCTCCCTTGCTCGTCGACCAGTTCAGGACCCTCGAACACCATCCCTACTCAGCCGACGACCAATCTCTCCCTCGCCTCATTGCCTCGCTCGACTCTAGCCTACTCGTGATACGGTTGCTCGCCACTCCTTCCAATCGACTTCACCACCCTTCCTTCATCTTCGTCGAACACCAAGTTCCCCCAAGCCATCCCTGTGAGTGGAATAGCCCAGCTCCTCCCATCCTTCCCGGTCGACACCCCTTGAGGCGGTGGGGTGGTTAGAGTTGCGTCGTTGTCCTCCGCCTTAGAACCCGCCTGGGTTGTCTCCAACCCCTTGATTTTTTCCTCAGGTGGAATCAGGTCAACCGTGTGTCTCCTCTTATCATCTCCGCCCTTGTCTGATCCGCCCGCTATTAGTGCCTCAATCTGAGCCTCGATCCTTCATACGAAGACCTCTTGGTCCTGACGTAACTCCGTGCGGACTGCGGCGCCCATTTGGTCAATTCCCGTTTGCAGCTCGAGGTGTATCTAGCAGACTTCTGGCTGGATCGCCGCTCGTCCTTCCTTGAGGCGCCCGTTGTCAGCTAGGAGTTGAGCTCACTCCGCTCCCGCAGACTGGAACTGTCGATCGAGCGCGTCGATCCGGCCTTCAGCGTCGCGCAACTGGTGTGCGGCGGCGGCGACATCAGATGCCGACGTCGTCATGTTCTTCTTTGGCGGCATGGTACTCGGCTCCTGGGTTTCGTTGAACAAGGCTTTGATACCAATTGACGTGTGAACGTTTCACGCGTCAGGGTTTCGTAAACGAGAACTAAGAAAAACTGAAAAGTACTGGTTTATTATTTTCTGGTGAATAAAACGTAGATGTTAAGTACATATTTATAGGGAGAACCCTACAAACCCTTTCCCTTATGAACAAAGAAACCCAATCCTAGACAAGCTGCTAACCGATTACTTCCTCAACAAGAAGTAATAATATCCCAAAATAACTTAATAATATCCAATTAAACAATAATGATAATAATAATAACCAAAATTAGTTTAATGATCCAGACGGTCAGAAAATCGTGTACTCATCAGCCTTGTGCTCATGGACCTCACCAAGGAAGGATAGTTTGCATTTGTGAGAGGCATCACCGGTTGTAGAGTTGGAACTGCCATTAGCGATGTAGTAGGAATCCGAGGATTGATTTTCGCAACACCAAAATATTGAAAAGTTAGACAGAGAGAGATGCAATCGAGAGAGAAATTAGGGTTCTGCGTTTATCTCAACAATCAGAGAGGTAGAGAAATCATAAAGAGATTACGATGGACAATCAGAAAGAAGAGCAACAAAAATGAAAGAACTAAATCGAAGGAATAATTGGTGAGAGATTCAACCAATTAGAAGCAGAGAAAAGACGAAGTGATGCAGGAAGGAAATATTAGTCAGATTAGGAGGGCAGAATTGAATTAGGGTTTGAGAGAATTTGGGGAAAATGGAAATGAAGGAGAACCAGGAGACACGAAGAGATCAATTCTCTTTCTGTGACTCTTTTCTTGTATTTCCAGATTGGGCCCAAAATGTCTCACAAGCCCACTAACGGATAATTGAAATGAAATGGACAAAAACTAAAGTCTGCTATCTTCAGCCCATAATTTGGACAGAGAGGCGATCATCTTCTTCCTCAGAGTGAAGAGAGCCTCGAGCAGTTGCAGAGAACAAAAACAGAGGAAAGGCAGAAACAGAGTAGCACAGCCAGAGGAGAGGACACAAACGAATTTTAACAAGGTTCCCCAATCTACCGGGTACGTCCTCGTCCTAGACTCAGTACTTCACTGAGTTCTAGGTGACTCTGATTTTTATTGATTTAAACTATCAAGCAAGAAGATAAAAATACCAGACTCAAGAACAACAAAACGAAAGCAATGTAAAGTCACCCGGATCCCAATCCCAGACCCGTTACACCATTAATCAAACAGATCCTGTGCCTCTGTTGATTAACCCACTATGCAATCAGCCCTATACCACTTCTTGCAAAAAGCACCTATCACTGTTCTTCATGAAAGGTATAAATACCCTTTGCTGGTCGACCGTTGCTTTTGAATTTCTTCAAGGAAGGTAATTTTTGCAGTTTAGGAAACTTTTGCAGCTGGCTTGATTTCCTTCGAGTGATTTCCGACTTTCCATTCTCCAACAATCTCCCCCTAAGTTGGAAATAGCGAGTTGCCTATCGACCCTGCAAGAATTAACAAACTATCTCCACCCAACAGAGTGACATCAAAGCAGAAAATAACTTAACTAGATTAAAGCAAACATTCAGTTAAATAACAACCATTCAGACCACAGCCAGGTCGGGCAAACCAGGAATCATCCAACATACATCCAACATTCAAAAACACTATTCACGACCACAGGCAGGTCAGGCAAACCACAAGCTCACACAAGGAACCACAGCAGAAAGTCAATCAATGATAAAAACGAACTCCTCCCCCTAAGGATAATCTCTACAAGGAAATAACTTGCTCCTTTCTGATACTATGCTTCTTCGTTGTCTGAATCAGATCCATAAAGAGCACGAAGAGCGGCAGCAAACGACTCCAATTCTGGTGCATCATCCGAGCTGCTGCTAGACGAGTCAGAGTCGGAGTCACTGCTGATAACTAGTATGTGGTTGGCGTCATTCTCCCCCTCAACTGCTATTTCCAGAAGATCCATAACATCGTCGGCATTGAGATAAAGGGAAGGGGTGATGGTTGCGAAGGGATGAAGATTAACCCGCAGGCGAAGAAGGAGAGATGTGATGAGGCAGCCAAACGGAAGAGGAGAAGAGATGTTCACAGAAGGAGATGATAGAGCCAAAGAACAAGGGAGCATAGTTTAGAGGGATGCCATGAGTAGCATGAGCTAAGACCCAAAGTTCAACAGGGGTTATCATCATCAGATTTCCAGAGCGAGGCAAGAACACTCGCGAGATGAAAAAATGGAGAGCTCTGAGGGAAGGTAAAAGGGCCACTACAAGAAAAAAGGTTTTCAGCTACCATTTTGTCAGCGACCATGGAAAGATGGTTGCTTATAACTAGGTTTTGCCTACCATTAAAACAATAGTTGCTGATACCCAACTCTTGCACAACTAATAGTAAAATAGTCGCCCATAGATCAAACTTGAACAACTATTTCAAAAATGGTTGGTAATACTCTACCTTTAACCAACTATTTCGAAAATGGTTGGTGATAATTCAAAACATAGGCAACCATTTGTAAAATAGTTGGAAATACCCTACCTTTAACCAACTAAGACAGTAGGAGTTGCCGATAGAAGAGTCACTAGTTTATAGGAATGACTGGCGGGTAGATTTTAATTCTTGGCGGCAAATGAAATTTTTTTCCAGCGACCACAAATATATTTTGACGACGCTAAATTTGATCGTTGTAAACAGAAAGTTCAGGCCACTATCATAATGGTTGGTAAAACTGTGAATTGGAGCGACTATTGATATATAGCTGGTACTGTATCGACTTTGGGCCACTATTTTTTTAAAGTCGCCAAAAAGGTCAAAACTATTTTTATATATAAATCTAAAGCTCTAGTTGCACCAACGATTTCCTGTAGTTGTCGCTTGAAATTGTTAGTTAACCCACTTTGAGTGGTATAGTTGTTGAAGCTTACTTTGGGCTACTATTTTTTATGGTTGTGCTAAACTTGAGCTTCAGACTAAATATAATAATGTATAATGTGGGCGACCATATTTTAACAGCCGCCGATAGTCTAAAATAACAGGCGGCATTTTTGAGTTTCTTGGCGGTAAATGAATTTCATTTGTGGCAACTTTATTTTGTTTTGCCGACCATACTAATTAGAAGACAAACATGTGCAATTGTTTTTTACCAACCAATTCGTATAAGTTGTTGTACAAAATTGCTTTGGCCCACGTCATTTTAATGGTTGTTTAAAAAATGAATTAAGCCCAAATGTATTAAGCCCACAATATTTAGTTATAGTAGCAAAAGGCCTAAATTCCTATTCCAGATAAAGAAGAGGGAAGGCACTTTCAGTACTTTCTCTCTCTTTTCACTCTCCATCTGCGTACCGAGATCCCTCATTTTCCTTCTTCCCCATTGTTGATCGAAAACAAAAAAATACCCCCAAACTCATCTTTCTACCACTGCCTCCTATTGCCGATGACTGCCCCCGATGATGGTCCCCAGCCATCACTTCCCTCGACCTGGTTACCAAAATGAGAAATTTTGATTGAGAGGATTTTGGCATTTGAGAACCTAGTTCTTAAATCTCAGGTATGATCAGTCAAGAACCTTCACTGAAAATTCATCGCTAACCTACTCTTCTTTCTTCTATTTTTATTTATAAATGTACATTTTTCTATGAAGAAAGGAAAAAAAGACCGCACAACAAGTTGTACAGGAAGTGGAAAGCTGTTTTGTGGAAGGTAAATGACATTGTGTTTGTTAAATTTGTGCATTTCATTGTTTTTATCTTGTGAATTATATCCCATATAGAATGATGTTTATCCTTCTATCCAAATGTTTAAATCTGACCTACTATCATGTGGATTTTTTTTTCACTCGATCATGACCTAAAGCTCCTCCTTCTCTAACTCATTGATTTTTTATCTCGGTTATCTTTGCTGGCTAGGGGTTTTTGAAAATTCTTCTTTCTTGTTTCTGGATTTTATCAATTATTGGTAGAGGAAATTATGATTCTTGTCCCTCAATGATGGTGCTAATTCTCCCTAACCAGTGCTCGTTTGTTTTTCCTTCTTTGTTCCTAGTGAGGTGTCTATTTATTATGCAACCCTTTTGCTTAATTACTTGTTTTGTTAAGATTAAGATAATTCATAGTGTGTTTTCATGATAAAAACTTGTTTTGCATCAGTGTCTGATGGTGTCATTTATGGGCTTTTCCCTCATGCTAGTCTCTTTGCAGCCTACCATGAACAAGGATGTGCTGCGGCCTCATGACATTGCACGCTATAGTTTTCTTTTTGCTATCTCCTTTGTAGTTTTTGCTCTTAAACTCATGTTGTGTTCTCATTGCAAGTATTCTTTCTTGTTCTGTTTTTGTTGGAGCTTTCCTTTTCCTTTAATAACAATTTAGTCTTAGACATCCAAAACAAATCAGTCAATGTATTTGGTATGTAAAGCATGAAGATATATAACTATCATAACATGAGTGGCATGGATGAGAGCTTGACAACGAAAGTCTTTCCTGAAGTTAGACTTGTAGGAACTAAAGGCAGATTGGTTGTTTATGTTTTCTTTTCTTTGTATTCTTCCATTTATAACTAAGTTGCATGCTTTTACAGCATCCAAGAAAAGTGGGAGATAAGCTAGCATCTTGGTGATCAAGTTTCAGACTGTTTGGCTCGTATCTAGTTTACAGGTTAGATCTGGTTACTTGCTCAAGATAGTCTCTTGTAGTTGCTTGACATGTGTTTTTGAATAGGTTCAACTGCAAATTTCATACTTATAATAGTTCCTTTCTATCGCACTGGGTTTTCTATTCTTTATTAAGTCCCTGAACCGACACTTTATATGCTTAAATCCTCTCTAACTAACTTTCACATTACCCATTTGTTGTATAATAATAAGTCAATAATGAAATAAACTAAAACCACACTTTGCCCTCCTTTGTCTCTCTCCCACTCTCTCTATGCACTTCACTGCCTTCTCGTAAACTCCTACAAATCTTGTCATTTCCTTGTTTTTTACTCCTTTCTCTCGAATAATATTTTGATAGTAAAGTATAATTAATGTTCTGGTAATAGGATGGATAGATCATGGATGAAGGGAAGGAGGTTCAGTATAAAATATGTGGAGGGAGTTAGGTCTTTCATGTCCTTTGTTGAGAACAATATAGGTCTTGATAAAGACATTCGATGTCCTTGCAACCAATGTCTAAATGCGTTGCGCCAGTCTCAAGATGTTGTGTTTGCACACCTATTAATCAACGGGATAGACACTGATTATACTAAGTGGGCTCACCATGGAGAGACTTTCAATTCACCTATGGATGATATTGATGTGAATGATAATCTTTCTGATTGTATCTTGGATAATGAAGAGGAGGATGACCTTTTTGATCTTTTGGCCGAACATCAAAGTTTCATCAATAATGATGAGAACAATGGAGATGACATAACGACTAAGGGATACGAAGAATTCATAGCTTTATTGGGGAAAGCTCATGAGGAGTTATATCCTGGTTGCGATAAATATTCAAGACTATCATTTGTGGTAAAGTTACTTCACTTGAAAGTATACAACAAATGGAGCAACAAGTCATTTGATATGTTGCTTAAGCTGTTGAAGGACGCTTTACCTACTGGTAATTTGATTCCTAGTTCGTATTATGAGGCTAAGAATATGCTGCGTAGCCTTGGCTTAGGATATATTCCCATTCATGCATGCCCCTATGATTGTGCCTTGTATTGGAAGGAGAATGAGAAACTAGAAGCTTGTCCCATATGCAAAACTTCTAGATGGAAAGTTAATGATGGAAAAGGAAAGAAGATTCCTTGGAAGATTTTACGCTACTTTCCTTTGAAACCAAGACTTCGTCGATTATTCATGTCAAGCAAAACTGCGGTACACATGAGGTGGCACAAAGAAAAGCGTAATGATGATGGGAATTTGCTTAGCCATCCTGCAGATTCAAAGGAGTGGAAGGACTTTGATGCAGAGTACCCTTGGTTTGCTGCCGATTCTCGTAGTGTGCGACTTGGACTAGCAAGTGATGGGTTCAATCCTTTTGGCAATATGAGCAATTCGTACAGCATGTGGCCAGTTGTGCTTACACCATATAACTTACCTCCTTGGATGTGCATGAAAGAGCCATATTTGTTATTGACTTTGTTGATTCCTGGCCCTTTAGCCCCAGGAAAGGATATCGACGTTTATTTGAAACCTTTGGTTGATGAGCTGCAAGAGTTGTGGTTGGAGGGAACACAAGCTTATGATGTCCACTCTAAATGTAGTTTTAAGCTCCATGCAGCTCTGATATGGACTATAAATGACTTCCCAGCTTATGGTAATCTATCGGGATGGAGCACAAAAGGATATCTTGCTTGTCCTATTTGTAACAAAGATAGTTCATCTCACAAACTGAAGAGCAAAATTGGCTATTTGGGTCATCGACGCTTCTTACCAATCCAACATAGGTGGCGAAAAGATAGGAAAAAATTCAATGGAAAACAAGAGATGCGACCACCTCCTGTGTTCTTATCTGGCTATGATATTTTGGAACAACTTGCGTATGTAACAGCGAGGCCTCCTGGCAAACATCCTGAGATTCTTGATAAGAGAAAACGGCCTTGTGAGGATTTAAATTGGGTGAAAAGAAGCATATTCTTCACACTTCCTTATTGGAGATCCTTAAAATTGAGGAACAATTTGGATGTTATGCATATTGAAAAAAATATATGCGATAATGTTGTTGGGACATTACTAAGCATCCCTGGGAAAACTAAAGATACAGTGAAAGCACGAGAAGATTTGGAAGTGATGAGGATAAGAAAGGAGTTGCAACTTGTGAAAAGAAGTGATGGGAGATATGATATGCCTCCTCCATTATATACAATGACAAAGCAAGAGAGGAAAGACTTCTGCCAATTTCTGAAAGAAGTCAAATTTCCTGATGCTTATGCTTCGAATATTTCTCGGTGTGCCAATGTTGTTGAAGGAAAAGTTACGGGGCTCAAAAGTCATGATTGTCATATTCTTTTGCAAAGATTGCTACCTGTAGGGGTACGAGGAGGTATGGATGCACATGTCGCTAATGTTTTAGCTGAATTGGGTGATTTCTTTCATCGCTTATGTTGCAAGACGTTAAGTGTAGAGGCATTGGACAAGTTACAAGAAGATATAATCATGATCTTGTGCAAGCTAGAGATGATTTATCCCCCGGCCTTCTTTGATGTTATGGTGCATCTGGCTATTCATCTGCCATATGAAGCAAAACTTGGTGGACCAGTACAATACCGATGGATGTACCCAATTGAAAGGTGCGATTACTTTTGAATCAAAAGAGCTTCTTTTAGCATTCCTAATGTTCTCAATAAGTGTTGGAAGGTTAATCCTTTACTATTTCTTTATTAGATTTCTAAGCACTTTAAAGGGGTTCGTACGAAATAGAGCTTATCCAGAAGGTTCAATTGCTGAGGCGTATCTAGTTGATGAATGTTTGACATTTTGTTCGATGTATTTGGATGGAATCGAGACACAATTTAATGCTCCCGAGAGAAACTATGACATTGAAGAAGATGGAAACTTGTCTATTTTCTCGACCAAAGTTCGACCAATTGGTGGTTCGCAATATGTGCCATTATCTGATGAAGAATTAGAAATGGCTCATTGGTACGTGCTTAGCAATTGCGAAGATGTTCAACCGTACATGGAGTAAGTTGGTAATGATGGGTTTAAAATTAATGATAATCGTTTCTTCAATGTGTATTTCTTATACATATTTGGCATTTTTAGGGAGCATTTGAATTCCATTGAAGCTCATGATCTGGTGAGAAAGCATGATGTATATAAAAAGCAATTTCCAAAGTGGTTTCAAAAACAGGTAACTTAAATAAACTCATTGTTGTCCCCCTAAGATGTGATAAATAGTTTTTAGACTAAGCATTTGACTAGTGATTGATATTTTCGATTGTAGATGGAAAATACATTATGCTCAAATAAAGACGAAAGAACATTGGCTTTGGATTCACTATCTCGTGGCCCCTTACCTTGTGTTAACAAATATACTGGTTGTATCATCAATGGTGTTAGATACCATACTAAGGATCGAGAAGGCCGCCTTAAAAGCCAAAATAGTGGTGTTGTTGTGGAAGGAAATCATTGTGATGAAGTTATCGACTTTTATGGAGTTTTGTTGGAGATCATCAAGCTATACTACTTAAGGGATAAACATGTCTATCTCTTCAAGTGCGGATGGTTCAATGTGGACAGACAGAAGTCAAGAATAGTAAATGATGGTGCAATTACTAGTATTCGTGTTGATCGATTTTGGTACATGGGTGATCCATTTGTGCTCGCTAATCAGGCAAAGCAAGTTTATTACACAAATGATCCTAAGTTGGGGCTGAATTGGAGAGTTGTGCAACTGTTTAACCATCGTCATATTTTTTCTGGAGATATAGAGAACTTAGATGACCCTGAGATCTCTAATGACATGAGCAACAATGAAGATGCATACCAAGATGAAGAGTTAATAAATGTTTTACCGGAGGTTGGTAGCATTGAAATTGATGGTGAAGTATCATTGCGAAGAGATGATGTTGCTGCAGAAGTGGTTGATGTTGTGATTAGGAGGAAGAGAACTGCATCGGAACGAGAGATGGAAATAGAAGATGCACACGAAGAAGTTGATCATGAAAGTGGAAGTGAAAGTGATGTACCATCAATTGCAACTGCACCTGTAGACAAAGAAGACGTTTCTCTAGATTCTTGCAGTGAAGAGGAGGACGATGAGCTTGGATATGAGAATTGATTAGATAGTAATAATGATGATGCTTAACTAATTTAATACTTGCACTAATTATTTTGTCTTTATTCAATCGTCTCTTGCATTCATATTTTTAATCTGAGAGTTGGCTTTGCTTTTCCTTTTTGCATTATTAGTATAATTGTTTCACCAAAACTTGGTCACTTCTGAAAAGCTATTTTATTAATGCTTTGTACTATTTGAGTCAAGATGGCTTGTTAGTTTTGACCATGTCATTACACGTGTATGAACCTATTTTTCATGCTAATTTTCTTTCTTCATTTCAGGTTAACGCGATGTCTTCAGGTCCGGGTATGTCTAGCACAAAAAAAGCTCAAATGAGAAAACAAGGCATTCCATCTTTGATGAAGTCTGGCTCAATTCCCAAGCGCAACTCTGTATCGGATATACCAATCCCATCTTCTGGTGGAGTTGGCAATTCTACTGTACTTCCTTCTCCAAGCTTGAAAAGAAGTGCATTCTTGTCTTCTAATGCCACGAAACAAGGTAAGTTAGCTAGCTAACAAAGTTATGGTTGAACTTTCGTTATTTCAATGATCCTATTCATTATGTATGCTAGCTGAAAGTATGATTCCTTCCCAAACCTGGTCATTCACAATGTATAATTGGATATATAATATTTTTCCTGTTCATATGATTTACTTTCCTAGCAAAACAAAAGACAACATCCACGGTGTTCGTTAAAGGGGTGTCTTTATCTAGAACACAGACATTACTTGGTGGTTCTTCAAGTATGCTAGGTAACTAAGCTGAATATTAAGTCACAATTAGCACTTCGATAAACTGTACAGTAAACATACTATCTTGTTAGTACTTTTACAGCTGGTATCTCATCTTCCATAGACGGGAGCAACTCAAGAAGTCCTTCTCCTTCTTCACCGATTACACCTACACCAAATATGACTCAAGACAATACAACAACACCCTCCTCCGAGTTTGTCGAAGAAGAGAACATTGAGCAACCTCCTGATGCTGGTATGCATGTGTTTATTGCATTTTTACTATGATTTTTGCTATAGGTTCCACCTAATGTTTTCATGCATTGGCAACATATTAAGAGCAAGTTCTCTGTTGTTTTGCATATCTTTTGTTGATTGCTTGTTTTCTGCATAAAAAGGGATGAATGATAAACAAAGAAAGCGAGGAAGAGGAGTGACACGTGGACTTGCCCTACATAAACAAAATGAAAGGAATGGAAAGAAGTTAGAAGTGGAGATAGATCCAATGCTTGGACGTTCACTAACTAGGAGGGGTAGTTTGGCCGTATCTTCTGAATTGGGGCAGCTGGCCCCTGATTATGTATGGCCAATTTCAAAAAAAGGTCAAAGGAGGCGTATTCTTGACGAAGTTATTCTGAGGCTGGAGGTAAGGATGGCCGTTACATGTTTATGATAAACTTAAATGTTATTTTCAACTGTATTAGTTATTATTTACATTCTTGTACCTTATTATAGGTGAAGTTGAATATTGTCAATGTGGGAGACATTGTGGTGAGAGGTCATATTTGGAGGCAATTCATGAGGATTGTGAAGGGTAGAAGAAGCTATTATCGGAAGGTATACCGTCGCTATAATGAAACAGCAAAGGAGCATAAACCACGTTGTCTAGATCAACAGATATGGTATGACTTATGTGACTATTGGGCCACTCCAAAAGTACAGGTACGCCTTGTTTATATTAGTTCTATTTGGCCACAAGTTGTTTTATACCCTTCAACTTCTTTTTGTCTTCTAATGTGATTATTCCTTTTATGATTGGAAACTATATAAATCATACTTGATGTCATTGAACCCTCACAATGAATGAAAAAAACTAATATCAGGCACTATGTGATAAGAACACGGAAAACAGGAATATGGTCCAACATGTCAATTGCCAAGGACCGATTCCCTTGGTTCCTCTGTATTATGAGCTGGTTAGTATCCTTTTCCTTATATTAACATGTATGGCTACCAATTACCTATTAAAATCAATAATTATTTATTTTATGTGATTATGGGGAACATGAGTAGCTAAATAAAGAAGGAAGTGGAGTTAATAACAAGATTGACTTCTTCAGAAAAGTGAGATGCACCATTACTGGTGAGTGGAGGAATGAGTATTCAGCTGAAGCACATGTGAGTGAAATGCAGAATTTAACTCATAAATAGATAAACCTCATACAAATTTATTATTCTAATGGATGGTGAAATCCGTTTTTTTCTTCTTCCTATAGAATCGCATGCAACAGAAGGTGGATGAGACTAAAGATAGCGACCAACCAGTGACTGCCGATGAAGCATTTCATGAAGTGTTAGGATCTAATTCTGGATGCCTCATAGGAGTTGGCTATGGGCCATTACCCCCACCTAAGAGAGTCGACACGCGTGCTTTGAATGAGTGCGCACAAGTTAGGGAGCAAAATCACAAGCTAACAGAGGAAAATGAGCGTTTGCATGAAAGATGTGGACATCTAGAGGAAAATATGACCCAAGTCACTCAACAAAATGAAAAGTTGACTGAAGAAAATACCCGCTTGCAGGAGCGGTGTGCCAACCTTGAAGAAAATGTGACTCAAGTGACTGAGCAAAATCAAATGCTGACACAGGAAAATACTCGCTTGCAAGACAGATGTGACCACCTCGAGAAAAACATGAACCAAATCAATGAGAAACAAGCAGTGTTTGAACACTTCATGCGTCAACAACTTCAAAAAGGAGGCAACTAGTAAGTGTTCTGAAATTTATTGTGAATAGTAAGATTTAATTTTCCAGATTTCAATATACTTGTATATATGAAGCTGCATATGTGAATTAGGAGTGAGGTTGATAGATTTTAGACCTTCTTAACTTTATTCCCCTCACCTCACTTTCCATAGCTACGGGTTGAAATGAGAGAAGATACACCTTAATATAATGTCTATATAAATGGAAGTAGGACCTACTGCTTGCTATAGAAAATGGCATTCTTTTACCTTGGGAAAATGTTTTAATCTTTGATGTTTCATAGAGATTTTTGGTTTCTTTTGTTTCACTTCTTTTTGCCGGATGTGTACACAATTCTTTTCATTTATCTGCTGGACATGTACATTTTTCAATGGTGTGTCCTTATCATTTAATACCACTCATGAATGCTCATTTGGTTTCTCCGTCCTTTATGTTTCGTTTTATTCTTTTAAATCAATCGACTTTCTATCTTGGTTGGAATTGCAGATGGAGTGCATCAAGTGATTTTGGCATGGAGATATCTACTCCATTGGTGTTAGATTTTGGCATGGAGATATGGACTCCACTGATGTTGAATTTTGGCAAGAAGATTAGTTGTAGGGAATAGGCATAGGGTGAATGGACTCCCTGATGTTGGATTTTGGTAGGGAGATTAGTGTAGAGAATTGAACTAACAGACTCCACTAATGATTATTTAGGCATGAAGATTAGCTGTGAAGGATAGGGTAGGCTCTATTAATGTTTAAGTCAAGTTGATATTAGGATTCAGAATGATAAACTACATGAACGTGTATGTATTGAGAATGGAGTTGGTGTTCTCAATCCTAAGACAAACTCATCTTATTATTATTTGACTATTGCAGAGTGATGATGTTAGAAACCATGGCTTTGTGTATTTCAATTTCTTGTCAGATATGTACAACAAAAATTGAAAAATTACTAGCATATAATGTATAAATTGCAGAAAATAGGACTTTCAGCTACCATATACAAGAGTAGCTAGAACTCAGTGCAGTACTTTATCCAACCTTTCAATATGGTTGGTGAAACCTCAAAAGGGCCAACCATCATAGATAATAGTCGTTGAAAGTAGCCCTAATGAATTTTGTGCGAAATTGTTAACTATCGCCACCCATATTAAAGGGTTGCCAATGGCACCTATAGGCAACTATATCACATATAGTCGTTTTTGTCAATGTTTCAGCGACTATAGGCAATGGTTGCTGAAGAACATTAAAGCCAACCACTATTCTGGTAGTCGCTTTTGGCTATGTTACAACGACTATATATGCAGTTGCCTTAGATACTTAAAAGCTACGATTTTGTTGGCGTTGGGAAAAGTTCATTTTCAGCAACTACTTTCTATCGTTGCTTCAGAGCTTTATAGCCTACTATCAACTAAGGTTGCTATTTTGAGGATTTGGCAACCCCTTTTAGTAGTCGTTGGAAACATACTTTCACCAACCATTCAAGTAAATAGTCGCTATATTGTTTAGCCGACGGTCCTTTGCCGACCATATTGCCGACGCCATTTAATAGTCGCATAGGTGTTTCAGCAACTATTTTTTATCTTTCAGCGACCTTTTTTAATGGTTGGCAAAACCCTTTTTTCTTGTAGTGGGCAGAGACAGGCATAGAGAGATTTGGACCAGGAAACTGACCAGTAAGCTGATGGAATTCTTCAGCGAGATCAAAGTTAAACAGACCGAGTTCAGACTCGTCTGCAAGATTCTCGCCATTGACAGGGATGTTAAGAGCACGCTCAATTTCAGCGACAGGAACAGTGAGAAGATTTCCAAAGACAAGGGTGGTGAAAAAACGGGAGTGCACAGCAGTAAACCGAAGGTTTGAGTAAAAGAACCGGACTGCATCAGGACAAACTATGGTTGAAAACTGGTGGTACAGAAGAAAATTCCAGCCAAGATTTTGGATAAAAGGACGCACATCAAGTCCTACCTCAGCCAGTTCATCAAGTTGAACATGATAGGTAGGTAAAATCTGACGGTTTTCAAAAAACAGAGTGTGGCGATGGGCATTGGCTGGAATAGGATCCAGAAACATAGTTCCTGTGAAGGTACGAAGAAAGAGAAGGGCCATGGCTAAAAAGAACTATGAAGAGAACAATGATAGAACAGACGAAGCTACTAAACCTATAAATACTACAAGGAAACCACCAAAAGAGGGAAAGCAAAAAACTTAACAAAACACACAGGGCAGGAAAAAAAGGAAAGAAACACTGAAGAACGGAAACACCCAACCCTAACAGCCACAAACGAGGCAACTCAAGAATTCAAGGCAGTAATTGAAAAGACACTACATTAAAATCACAAAGAGAAGGAAACTAAAGATTACAATACAGAAGCATCGCAAGCAATCAGCTCAGGATCCTGTATCCCCTATCATCTCAGTGAGAGATGACAGCGAGCGAAGCCCGATTTCATAGCATAAGAAATTAAAGCGATCAGCAGCAAGGGGCTTAGTAAACACATCGGCCAACTGAAATTCCGTAGGAATGTGATGCAGGGAAATAAGTCCTTCCTTAACAAGTTCACGAATAAAATTATATTTAATATCAATATGTTTCGTTCGTGAATGCTGAACCGGATTCTTAGTCATGCAAATTGCACTTGTATTATCACAGTACAAAGGGATAGAGGAAACTTGCAACCCATAATCTTTCATTTGACTCTTAAGCCAAAGGAGCTGAGCACAAGAGCTGCCAGCGGCAATATATTCGGCCTCTGCCGTGGATAGAGCCACAGCTCCTTGCTTTTTACAAAACCAGGACACCAACGAAGTACCCGCAAATTGACAGCAGCCAGAAGTACTTTTTCGATCAGTGAGACTCCCAGCAAAATCGGAGTCAGTATAACCAAGAAGATCAAACTGATCTTGCTTAGCATACCAAATACCGACATCACTTGTGCCTTTTAGGTATCGAAAAATACGTTTTACTGCTGTTAAATGACTTTGTTTTGGTTGAGACTGAAAGCGAGCACAAAGACACAAAGCATATTGGATATCAGGTCGGCTAGCCGTTAAATAGAGCAAAGAACCTATCATGCCACGATATTTAGACTCATCAACCAATTCACCAGTTTCGTCTAAATCAAGTTTGACATTAGTTGCCATAGGAGTTTTTGTTGAAAAGAGACAGCAAAACAGTATTCATTAAAGGCATCAAGATCTTGAAGATTAATGATGTACATATTATTATGCCTAGACCCAACAAACAGAATCAATCCATCACTGATACGTTCAACTATGCAACGAGAAGACTCAAAACTGACTTTGTTTCCACTACTACATAACTGACTGATTGAAAGTAGATTATGTTTGAGTCCTTCTACTAAAAGAACATTATTTATCACAGGTAGGGGATTTTTTCCTATGGTTCCTGTTCCAACAATAGTGCCGAAACTGTCATCAACAAAAACAACTCTTCCTCCACGTTTGATCTGAAGAGTAGAGAAGAGTTCTTTCTTACCAGACATATGGTGGGAACACCCGCTGTCAAGATACCATAACTGATTTGATTTAATACTACCTGATTCATCATCCTGTGAAGACATTTTAGTCTGCAAGTCCAGATCACTGCTGAAGGCCATAAATGCCAGATTATCTTCTTGTTCCTCGTCTGGCTCTGATGCATAGTCGCTCCAAGTGGCTTTCATTGCTCGCTCTTTTGCCTTCAAGGTCTGTGGACAGTGAGCTCTGATATGGCCGAACTTACCACATTTATAGCATGCTTGAGCTTCTCGCTCTGATTGACCTGTTTCTAAAACTCTGGTCTGCTGATTAGGCAGCCTTTCTTGAGAAACAGCTTTGTAACGATCAGTAGAAACAAATCTAGAATCATCCTGACGACGTTTTTGATCATTTTTGTATTTAAGCATGCGATGAAATCTCTTGCTAACAAGGGCAAATTCCCTATCAAAATCACTCACAAAGTCATCTTCAGACTCATAATCAATAGTGTTATACTTAAATGCCAGAGTTTTCTTTCGTTTTTCATCATCATGTGAAACTTGTTTAATAACATTCTCATGACTGAGAAGAGACCCTATTAACTCATTTATAGGCAAGGTAGTCAAATTTTTTGCTTCTTCTATATCTGTACGTTTAGGTAGCCATTCTTTAGGTAAAGAGCGAAGGATTTTACGATTAAGATCCTTAGGCTGAAAAGTACGACCTAAGCCTTTAAGTTTGTTGATGAGAGTAGTGAATCTAGAATACATTTCATGGATTGACTCATTATTAAGCATAGAAAACGCCTCATACTCATGAACTAATAAATCAATGCGAGATTCACGAATATTAGACGTACCTTCGTATGTACTCTGAAGAGCAATCCAAATTTCTTGAGCGGATTCACAGTTTTCAACCTGGTCAGCTTCTTCAGAGGTCATCGCCGATTGGAGGACATGCATGGCGCGCTGGTTTAGCTGCGCACTCTTCTTCTGTGCAGCAGACCACAGATGTTGCTCGGCCAGATCCATATCAATCGGACCGTTTTGCACAATGAGCCAGAGCTCCTCATCGATTCCCCACATAAATTGCTTTATTCTCTTCTTCCAAGCCGTATAATTCGCTCCATTGAAAATCGGCGGATGATTAAGAGCCGCCTGCCCGAACGAGCTGGTCGCCATTGGATCGCAACCTTGGCAGGAGTGAGCTTCTTCAAGGGAAGGCTTTGATACCACTTATTAGTCAGATCAGGAGGGCAGAATTGAATTAGGGTTTGAGAGAATTTGGGGAAAATGGAAATGAAGGAGAACCAGGAGACACGAAGAGATCGATTCTCTTTCTGTGACTCTTCTCTTGTATTTCCAGATTGGGCCCAAAATGTCTCACAAGCCCACTAACGGATAATTGAAATGAAATGGACAAAAACTAAAGCCTGCTATCTTCAGCCCATAATTTGGACAGAGAGGCGATCATCTTCTTCCTCAGAGTGAAGAGAGCCTCGAGCAGTTGCAGAGAACAAAAACAGAGGAAAGGCAGAAACAGAGTAGCACAGCCAGAGGAGAGGACACAAACGAATTTTAACGAGGTTCCCCAATCTACCGGGTACGTCCTCGTCCTAGACTCAGTACTTCACTGAGTTCTAGGAGACTCTGATTTTTATTGATTTAAACTATCAAGCAAGAAGATAAAAATACCAGACTCAAGAACAACAAAACGAAACCAATGTAAAGTCACCCGGATCCCAATCCCAGACCAGTTACACCATTAATCAAACAGATCATGTGCCTCTATTGATTAACCCACTATGCAATCAGCCCTATACCACTTCTTGCAAAAAGCACCTATCACTGTTCTTCATGAAAGGTATAAATACCCTTTGCTGGTCGACCGTTGCACTTGAATTTCTTCAAGGAAGGTAATTTTTGCAGTTTAGGAAACTTTTGCAGCTGGCTTGATTTCCTTCGAGTGATTTCCGGCTTTCCATTCTCCAACAGGAAAATGAATCCAGACAATTAACACTTTCGAGAAACTCAAGAAAAAACAAAACCAAGAAAAATCAAGAACAAGATCGATTTGTGGCTCAGATACAAATGTAAGAACAAAGAACAAAGGGAAAACCATTTTGTTGGTTTCCAATTTCCATTGATCAAAGAGGAAAAGTTACATTAATCATTTACAAACCTAGTATATATAATGAAACATAAAAGTCCTATTTAGTACACAAAATAAACAAACACTACAAAATAAACCTAAAACTATACAAAAGTTACAATTAGGTTCCCATAACTTTTGGTTGGACAACAATGGGGCAATTAGGACCAAGAACTAGGGGTGTTCAAATGGTTACCATGGTTATAACCAAACCAAATAAGGCTAAATTCCATTAACCATGGAATACAATATCATAACCAAACCGTCCAAACTGATACAACAACCAAATTAACCAAACTAAGGTTTAATCGGTTGGATTAATTGGTTAACTAGATTAACCAATATAAAATTGCATTATCATTGACGATGAAAATTTCCCAGTTAATGCAAAAATTCGTAATTTATATAATGAGTAAAACATAACAATCAACACGTAGTTATAGTTGACCCTTAACAAAAATACATGCAACTAAGACAATTATCTTACGATTAGTATAGAAGTATTCACTTAACAAAAATTTATGACAATGGTATTATGGGTTAATGAATTGTTGTGTTTGTGTAAATTGACTTAGTCTCTTAGCAATTATCATAAGCTGGAAATGACCTTCCTTTCAAGTTTTCATCCATCATAATGTATGAAATTTATCTAAATTAGGCGTCTATATGTTGTGGTCTACACTTTACATATACAAATATACACTATATGAGCAATATTGAGCTTTATATTTTATGAGTCTAACAGGCCGTTTGGTACCAAATGAATCGAGAATTCATTTCATTGTAAAATGAATTACTGTGTAGAATTCATTGTCAAATGAAATCTTGTGTTTGGTACGTCATATTCAAATAAAATGAATTGCCATGTAGAATTCATTGTCAAATGAATTCTTGTGTTTGGTATGTATATGTATAAGTCATTTAGTTAATAAAAGAGAATAATTATGTCATTCTATTATAATTAGTAAATACTTGTGGAATTCATTTGAAAATTCCATCTCAATTCCTCGGAATTGCTATAACTAGTTCCAATTCCATAGAATTTAAAATTTAGAATTGGAAATGAATTCTTTCAAATACCAAATACAAAAATGTTTCATTTATACCAAACGGTATGTAAAAGGGATGAACGTTAACTTTTGAGTGGTTATGCAAAGTATTAAGTATGTGTATATAATATATGTTAGATATATGACTAATTACTTTACTGGTTGATTTGGTTTGACTGGTTAGGAGTGTCTGAAACCAAACCAAACCACTTAAACCAAACAAGCTAAAAATTTTAACCAAACCAAACCAATTATCCAAATTAACCAAACCAAATTATCCAAATAGTACCGGTTAAAACGGTTACCACGGTAATCAAACCGTTTGAACACCCTACCGAGAACAAGCTAGGCATATACTGAGCATGGTGGCATACGTGTTGTAGTAACATACATTAATACTAGTTTTTTGACCCGCGCTCCGCCGCGGTA